ATAAACTGATTTTTGGCTTAAAATATAACTTTTTCTTAAGACGCATAATAACTATAAATATAATCTTTTTCAATGAAATATAAGTAAGTGTAACAATGAATTAAACGTGGTCCCACTAAATTGTATTAAAATTTGCTGTGCGCATATGAAATATATATGATAATAAGATCAAGCTGTGTTTTTTATTAATTGATTATATTAGTAGTCCCGTCATATCGACATCAATATAGCGGGACCACAATCTTAGTTGAATATTTAGAAATTGTGTAATTTTTGTCTATTAAAGTAAAAAATAGCAGAAAATCCTAATTCAATTATATTCAAAAAAACCTGGCAAGGTCCCGACATCTTTACGTTTATAAACGTACGCATTGAAGTAGATGAAGTGATAACGCGTTACGGGAGAAGACGTAAAAGAAAAAAATGATTTTGTTATTTTAGTATAGAACTAACATACATTAATAAAATACTTATACTGTATCTATTATTATCAAAATTTAATTACAACTTCTTGTGACTTGGCCACGACTATTGCGGAGTGTTTACCCAATCCTTCAGTATATCGTTGAGATGTCTTGCCCTTTCGAACCTTACAAGTCCAAACTTTTGTAATATCAATGCTGTTTTAGCCACTTCCTGTCTTATGTAGATGTGGAGAGGTGTGATGTTTAACATAAGTGCTAGTGCTGCGGTTGGAGCCGTACTCATGCACCCAGTCACCGCGCTGCATATCTACCGCTGAAAACTTTGTAGTTTATTGATACAAGTTGCTTTGGTAGATCTCGGCCACCATCTGATGACGCCATAACTTAACACTGGTCTTATGACTATAATATAACCATTGAAAAATTTTTGGTTCAAGACCCCAACGCTACCCTAACATTTGACGGCTTTGCCAAAGTGTTACGCTGACTGTCTTGATTTTGTGTTCCACATGGTTACTCCAGTTTAGTTTACTGTCAAGTATAAGGCTTAGATACTTTACGTCCTTCGACAGTTATAGTGTGGTACCAAACAACTTCGGCAAGTTGAAAGCACATACGTCACGTTTGGTTGTAAGCATTACCAGCTCTGATTTAGTTGGGTTAACTGCGAGGTCATGTAGTAGTGGTTCGAGTTTAGCTTGGTTAGCAGGTCGTCAACTACAAGGTTCCACAGAAGTGGCGAGAGAACCTCTCCTTGCGGTCATCCTCGTGCCACTAGTGCTCCTCTGGTGTCCTCACCTGCTACCTGAACTATTCTATTGCGAAACATGTTAACTGTCTGTTTATTGCTCCACTCCGTATCTTCTGAGAGTAGACTCAATGCTGTGCAAGTAGCATGACCACCACAATTTACATTATAACACGTTTTTTATCGCGTCTAAATGTCAAACTCCATAGTAATTTGACAATTGGGCGTGATAAAAACGAGCGATATGTCATATCGCGGTGCTCATGCTAGGGGGGCTGGTGAAGTTGGTTTCTTAGTAGTCTAGTCAATAGTTTTTTTTGTGTATTTGCTGCTTCTTTTTGTTCAACGCCAAGAAAAGTGCGATTGTCATCAATTGGTCGTCGTTCATGTTGTACGTGCTTTTCAAAGAGCGTGATTTTGCGAAGCGGCATTATAAATTCCTAATGAAAAAGAACTGAAACGTCTGCGCTAGGCTTACGGAATTCCGGATCAGGAAACCATACGTGTGAGCCCAGTCTAATGGTGTCGATCCCTTTCAGAGTTGATATGTATCATCGTCATTATCACCAGCCTATAAATGACCACACTGCTGGGGCACAGACCTTCCCTGTGGATGGAATAAGTAGATAGGGTCATGCATGATCCACCACGCGAGCCCAGTGCAGATTGGGTGGGTGCTAACGACTGTAGATGCAGCCGGGACCAAGGCCTTAACGTCCCTTCCGAAGCACGGAGGAGAGATAATAAGTTTTTGATCACCCATCCAATGAACGACCATTGCAAAAGTTGCGTAACTTCCACGATCCCAGGCCAAGTTCACTATCCACCTGCACCATAGAGTGCAGCTGATGTGTACTATGGCGCTAATACGCATAAAATACACACATCAAAAGTGTCTAGGGATCAACATATATTTTTGCAATAACTTTTCTCCTGATTGATATTAATTAAAATTTTCTTTAAGGATTCATCAAATAAAGTGTTTTCGTTTGTCACAGTAACGATAAACCAAGTCACCTTTGCATTAATAAAGAAATTTGCCATTTTCCTAATAACGGGATTTTTGACATTTGAACCACTAACACAAAAGTTCGAAAAAAAGACTGAAATAACAGTTTTCTCTAAAATTTTATTGGGTAACTTAAACAATTAATAATCCGTATTTCTACCGCGAACACTAACAACACAAGAACATCGGTTTGGCATACTCAAAATGAGTTCATCCAAATCACGCTGTGGAATGGCCGCCCATGTTCGTTGCAACAACAAAAAAAGGTCTTCTTGCGACTGAATACCCTCCATATTCGGCAGAGCTCTTCTCTGTAGCATATCCCATGCATGCTCAATCGGGTTCAAGTCTGGCGACTGAGCAGGCCAGGGCAGGACATTGATGTTAGCTGCGGCGAGAGTCTGTCTTACAACTCTTGCGGTGTGCGGTCGTGCATTATCATGCATTAACTGAAATAAGGGACCGATTTGCACTTGTAGAGGAACGATGACGTCTGATACAATCGTCTCAGCATAAATTTGAGCGTTGAGGTTGCCTCTGATCCAAATCAACTCAGTTCTTCCGCCGATCCAAATACCCGCCCATACCATGATGGTTCCACCACTATAAGGATGGACTTCCTGGCAGGATTTTAATCGCTGTTGGCGTCCAGGGGTTCTCCAGTGTCGTATACGTCTTGTATCCGGTCTCATACCAAAACGAGACTCATCAGAAAAGCACACGAAACGCCATTGTTCTTCTGCCCAATTTCTGTGTTCAAGAGCCCATTGATATCGAATCCTACGATTGTGCATTGCTATAGGTGGTACCCGTAGCGGTCTTCGGGAATGAAGGTTCACTTCATGCAAGCGGTTTCTGACTGTTTGGTCGCTAATTAAGTTCCCTGAAGAGTGATGAAGCCTCACGGCTAACATCATGGCGGTTATTGTTGGAGCTCTTCGAGTTAAGATTTGAATGTATCGGTCTTGTCTCCGTGTGGTGCAGCGATACCGTCCTCCATGGCGCTCAGCCACGGTACCAATGCTTCGGTATCGTGTCCAAAGTCGACTGATAACACTCTGACTTGTATTCAGAGCTAAAGCCACAGTACGTTGCCGGGAACCAGCTTCTATCATTGCCACGGCTCTGAGCATTTCTTCCCTGCTTAAATGACGTCGCCGCTCCATAATAACGTTGGTTTTAATCAGTAGTAGGGAAACAGTAGCACTAATAATGTCTTCAATGCGTTGTATGTTTTTATAGGGAAAATATTGACAGCTGATTTTCATCTTTTACTCGAATTTGATTCACAGTTCCTGATTCAAATTATGAAATGCACCAAAAAGGATCCATATAAATTTATAAAATCATAAATTTATTACAAAGCCACATCACAATCTCAAGAAATCCGCATAAAAATGCTTGATCCCTAGACACTCTTGATGTGTGTATGTGATTTATAATAAGATGAACAAATCGGAAAGAAAAGAAGTACGTTTTAGTAATTAATATAGGTGGCAAAGATTGTACTCCCATACTAGAGATGCAAAGAATGGCATGCCAAAACCTAAATGTTATGTTGAATTTTACGTAAAACACTGCCAAAATTTTCATCTATGCAGTGGTTACATTTCACTAAATTGTGTCGAAAAATTAAACATTAATTTAGATAATAACGTGTTTAAAAACATATCTTGTTGAAGCCTATCCCTTGATGACTTTAATAAAATGGCTGCCTTTTCGTAGCGTAGTAGTGCGAAGCGGCGACAACAAAAACTCTGTTATTTAAAAAAAATACGCTATTTGTAGAAGTCAATTGTCTACTGAAGATTGAAAAAATGCCATCAAAGAATAATAAAAAGATGTCGTGTATAATGCGATTCAAATGAGAATACGAAAGCCAATGACCTCCAACTGTCAAATATCGCTTGAGTAGTACGGTTTGCAAAAAAATCTCGGAACACTTTTTTAGCACTCAGCTGATTCTAGAATAAAAATCAATCCTTTTTAAACAAACAATAACAAATGTTGATAATAAATATTATAAGTTTTTTTTTCACTTATTGAATACTGGCTATGAATGGTTGGTAACCTAAATCGTCAACCAAATGTCACTTTATGTTGCGTTTAGAAACTCGATTTAAAACTTTCGTTTAGATATAGGATGCATGTTCGTATGTGACCTGCATGATTATTCATAACTTCTCCGGCGGTAATGCAAAGATGAGTAAAATTGAAGAGCTAGATTCTGATTAATCTTGTTTTTCACGCAGTTTTAATAAAAAAATACTATTAAAAATCGATTGAGTTCTTTCTCAACCTTAGTAAATTATTTTTTTTAAAAAATCTGATGTTTTGTCTCACTTAATCTTAGTAAATAAGTTTTATTGAATAGCAAAATTTTTTTGCTCACTCTACCTATTTGGTTTGAATTGACAGTTATGACGTCAAAATATGGCGCCCAGTCGGTCCTATTGTTAGTTGAATCGCATTATACCATATTTTATTTATTAATATTTTGTGTGTCCTTGTCGTTCTCTATACAGAATGAAAAGGAGGGACTGATGTTAAATTTAGTTTAAGTTTAGAGAATCATGACATAATCGACACCATTTCTCTTCTTTTCTCGGTAATATAGCATTTACAGTGCATTCGCCTGAATATCGAACGGCGCTGCGCTGTTTCAAATCACACCGGGGATGAGTGGATTTTTTTCTCGATCAATTAACTTTATATTTCAAAACACTTATTTCTAGAATATTAAGTATGGCCGCTTGCTTTTAGGCGGGTCATTAGCCACTCATACAAAAGGAAATTTAGAATTAAATAAAAATCCCGATATTTTTAATACATTTTATTCACTTCGATATTTAGACATATCAAAAAGGAATCCCCTATTAACTTTTGTCTTATGTTTAGTTTCTAAGTGCATTCAAATTCATACACATTTCAATATTCATAAAAGTAAGTTTTTATGGAAAAAATAGCTACCATTTTTCAATCATCTATTTTTGTTTTCTTTTTTGTGAAACGCACTTATATAATTTCTTTGGTGTTTTTATATTTATTTGTGTATTTCTCTGCTCTCACACATTAACATTATATAAATCGGCTATCACATTATGAGCCAGCGAAAGCACTGGCCTAGTAAAAGCACTAATAGAACACAACTTCACAAAACACTTTCAGTTTTAATTTTTAATTGTTGTTTATTCTGCATTGATTTTCTTTTTACATATCAATTGAATTAAAAAAAGCTAAGTTCAATGAAAACAAATGTAAATAAATGCATAAAGCAATGGTCTTCCCACACAAAAATTTCAATTAAATTTTGACATACATTAAGGACAACATGACAAACAAAATCTCACAGAATCAGTCTTTATAACATATACCTACGATTATTCTTTTTTTAATCATCATAACATCATACATTGTGATTTTGCTTTAGCAAGAGACAAAATAAATGACTTCACATAGTAATTAATGATTTTGTTTATACTTCTATGTTTTTATGTATTTGCAGTTTATGCGGTTAACAGCCGCACTCAGAGAAGTCAATTAACTTTTTAGGTTTCATTAAAGCCGACACTGCCACTTTCTTTGCGATAAAAATAGAATTAGATAACACGTGACTTAATGAAGCATTAAATTAATATGACGTTTCTGAGGACAGTTGCAAGACTGCTAACTATCCACCCCTTGTAACATGAAAATGACAGCACCATAGTTTGTACCCAGCTGGCAGTGAGGTAACCGTAAATGGACGAATGTAATGCATAAATCATGAATGAATCCAGTGTTAATCAAATTATTATACATACCTATTATTTTCATATCCAAGTTAATCTTCTATATAAAAATATTTCTTATTATTCGTAACAGATATTAAGCAGCTTATAATAGCTTTGCTTTAGCACCCATGTACATGTCGGTAATCAACAAACAAACGGAGATTCAATAGTCCTCTCGGATCGCTGAATTCAATCTGATATTAATTAAATAATAAGCGTCACACATACAATCACTATCTATTATATTTTACAAAAACTACGAAATATCAGCTACACTTTTAATTTATACTTATCTTATAAAAATACAAATAAGTTTCTTATATTTTTCAATTCGAGCCTTAGCATTTTGATCAAATAAAAAACTAAATACATATATAAATTTAAGACAACTATTTACAGAGATCTGTTGCATATTAACAATTTTTTATTATTGTAACTGTAAAGCTTATATGTTTTCCGCTTTTTTTATTATGTATATGAATGAAAATGTATCAGTATCATGAATTGCTATAAAAAGTGTTATATAGCTCGTTTCCAAAATCTATCTCCAGGAAGAGAGAGACCTATTAGATTATTTTCCTCGATACTTCTGTTAAGAGCCCTTTCACTTTTCCTTTAGCGCCTCGTTTGCCCCCTTAGAAAAGCTTTTGACTATTTATTTCCAATAGAAGTTAACAGTAGATTTATTCTTCCTTTTGTAAGTTAATGTAGAATATTTGCAAATACTATTTTCCTTTTTTGTACTGCAGCTAGTTTACGGAAAAAACGATAATATGCACAACTTCAAACGCCTCAATCTCTCAATAATGTTCAATAAATTAGATCAAATTAATTACTATGACATCAGAAATATGTTTTTGTTGTAACATAATGTATTAGATTTTTTTCTCAAAAAAAAACATCTAACCTCCGTGAGTTTTCCCAAAAAAGAAATGCAGGTTTACCTCGTATTTTGAAATTGAATTAAATAGAATTACTATCAAAAACTTTGATAAAACTAATCTACCATCATTGAACTACTGAAATATGTATATATTTTTATATCTAGTTCATTAATAATTATTTTATAATACTCGAAACATCACCCGTAAAATGAAATATATAAGTACTAGTGCAAATCTACCTATGCTCCAATCAGTACGGCAGCGGAGCAATTTTGTAAAAGGGCTCTTAATTAGTTCAATCGAAATAACAACTTGCTAAGATTCGTTATCGTTTTATTGGAGTTTAATTATTGAAACGGGCCGCTAGTGAGTCAACACGTCAATAGATGTAATTTAAAATGAAAAAAAAACACCGCTAGGCTAGTGGTAAATAATGATATACATCGCCACAAGCTTTAAACTATAAAAATTTGATCCTTGACCTATATTAATAGGTTTCCATTTACAATAATGTACATATAGTAGCATAGCCATAATAGTTACTATTGACAGTAGAATGATAAGTAAAGCTATACTGTCTGGTTATTGTGACAATAGTGATTAAAATTCTTTACTTATTGCATTGCACACACAATAAGTGCTTTGTATTGCGTTAAGAACAAATAGGTTCGAGATGATCTCGCATGGTTAAGGTCTATTTAAAGTTTTATTTTTTACTCTCAATAAAAGAGACTCATAAGAATAATTATGCAACATTTTTGTAGTTTTCAATAAAAAAATACACAACCGAATCCACATTTTACTTCCCAATAAGAGAAGTTGAATTGTCCCTTTATTTGAAGTTACGTAAACCTAGTTATTATGCGACACGCAAACTTCAAGCGAAAAGCAAAATGCACAGAAATACAAAAATATTTTACAATATTATCAAGAAGTAGCAAGCGCTTGTCTTGCCTTTTTTTATTTAAATATTAACTTTATACTTAATTTATTTTGAAACAGTAATGAACACTTTATTTCATGAGCTCATGAAATTTCTCAGTTCAATTTTTTTGATTACATAACCAATATTTTCTAGTCTTTAAGTTTCTAATAAATTTCATTATAATATATCATGTTAGTGCCAGGCATTACTTCGTTAGGATTATGCTAGTAATATAGCCGAACTGAATATCTGAGGCCATGCCAGATTCGTCATATACAGAATGATAGAAGACCCGATTTTGTAGTATCGTTAGAATTCTTTCACCGTCCCAAGGGACGGAATAGGAAACCTACACTGTTAAAAATTAAATAAAAACAGTGACAAAATAACAATTATTTATGTCAAATAAAAAATGTCTACTCATTATTATAATATGGGTTATACATAGTAATAAAGGTCTTAATGTGACCATCATGTGATATACTTATACCGTATATGAATATGGTAGCATTAATAATCGGGTTTACATGTAAAAAGCGATAAATACTTAAACTAAGTACTAACATAATCCTCAAACATTTAACTGATCGTACTAAGGTAATGCCTGTTTTCTGATCAAATCGACGTTTTAACATTAACTACACCGACTAGAAAATTAATTACTATTAACGCGATTCACACCTATTTATAGAATAGAGAACTTGGTCTATCATACTCTTGTTCATGAGGAATTTCGGTGTCATATTTTTACATCTCTTTTTATCTAATGAACTTTGTTTTATTTATATTATCAAGTTTTAAAAATCACTGGCTATAGAAATAAGTCAATCATTATTATATTAAGTAAATATACGCAGTACAAAATACAATGGAATAGGATACTTATTCAGAGAAAAAATGCCAAGAATGTGGAAATTGGATTAGAGTTCTTGAATGCATGATCGTATTACCATATTGCTCGCAGACACGAATCATATCTGGAATCACAGTTAAGAACTTTCCAATGTTGATACACAAAAGAGACTACTATTTTTTTATCGTAATTTCTTTGCCTACAGATTTTCTATTTTCGAATTTCTGCTGCAAACTGGCTACGTTCGATGGCTTAGACGCGAGCTTAGTCGGGTTGGGTTTCGCGTTGGACTCCATCCTCGGTACTAAAGTGGACGGTTTGGGCACGACCTTAGGTTTGTTCTTGTTAAGACTATCCGCAATAGATTTCACATTAGAATCCACTTTGGAGTTGACGCGGTTCAATGGGTTCCTTTCCGTTTGAGCCGGGGGTTTATTGCTCACATTAGCAGTAGAATTGACTGCTTTCAAAGTTGCGGTGGACTTAAGTTTCTTGTCTACGTTAGAAGTTGGGGCGGGTCGCAAGGGAGGCCTATTATCGTTCGGTTTTGCCACCGGCTTAGGTGTTTTGGGTGGTTCACTCGGTTTACTATTATTATTTATCACGTCAGGTGCTTTGAGGCTTTTAGTGTCCACCGCAGCACAACTGGACACGACGTCAGGACTGTTAGCTAAAGTCTTGAATAAATTCATGTTTTTGTTGGTGTTCTTCGGCGACTGCGGTACACTTCTAAAAGTGCTGGTATTCTTCAGATTGGGCGGGGTGACTTGCCTGCTGAACGTGGGTATTTTAGAATTGGCTTTCAAAGTAGGCGAGGGTGGCGGTTTGTCCGGCTCCTCGTCTTTCGTCTCTGTTTTATCTTTGTTGAGATACGTGGGTACGTTGACGGCTGAAGGATGCAAGTAGCCGCTGCTCGTGGTAGACGCATTGGATTTGGCCCCCGAATTACTATACACACTCTCCGAGGCCCTATAGTTGTCAGTGTTCATGTAAGTGCTATCTCTGTTGGCATCTTCTTTCGCCTGCTTCTTCCTTTGGAGCGTTAGCGATGAGTAAATGGAATCGAAGTTGCGGTTCTGTATTTCGTTGACGATCTCACCGAGCAGTCCCATACTCTCCGTGCTTCCAGAGTTCGAGGTGATCGGTTTGGGGGTGTTGTATCCTTCTGGAGGCGATTGGGGAATAGTCTTTACGGGAGGCGGTGGCACGCCAGGCAGCGGCTTGGAATGTTTCTCTGGGCTTTCTTCTATTATGGCGTAAATGTTATCTTCGGATTCTTCGCCGATATGTGCGAGGGGGGCTTGCTTTTCTTCTATACAGTCAACGTAATCGACCGATTTGTCGTTCAGCGGTTTTGGGTTTTGGTATATGGACGGTTGGTTGGTTTCGTTCGCGGGGAGGGGCGGAGGGGGGGCCGTGGGTCGTCCTACTATGGAGACGGGGCGAGGGACTCCGGGCGCCTGTCTCATGGACCCGAAGCTTTGTATCGCGGGTTTCTGAGGTACTGGAGCGCGCATACTTTGTGCTCTATTAACGAAAGCTTTCGGATCCTCCCCATCTTCCGAATCGGAAACCACTGGCACCGTATTAACCGGAAGGTCGATCTCCTTCTGCAGGATAGGGTTCGATATCTGCAGATTCCTTAGAGCCGTTTTATCCGCCGCTTTCGGCACTTTCACTTGATGCGCCGGGTTTTTGGGTAGCGAATGACTCCTCTCTACGGGGCGGCGTTCCTTCTCTTTCGGCTTGTCTTGTTTTAGGAAGGAAGCTATGCGGTTTAAGGATATACCCTCTTTGACTTTCTTCGGCTCCTCGGGGAGTGGTTTTTGAGGTACATTTGCGGAATGCATGCTCAGAGGTCTTTTCGGTAGTGAAGGTGATGCGTCAGGGATCGAAGGTGCTGTTCTGCTCGGTCCTAGTGTTTTCGACCCTTGGAGGGGAGATATAAGTTCTTTGGCTGTGCAAGTGGACGCTTCGAGTATAGGGCTGGAGATGACAGGTCTCTGGCTCGCCTGCACCGGTTGCGACTGCTCTTTCTCCGTATTTATGAACGCTTTGATCCTGTTCTGAACTGAGCTGTTGGTTCTCTTCACAGTGGGGCTTGAGCTAGTATTGGTGGTAGGAACGACGGGCAGCGGCGGGGCGCTTCGCAAAACGGGTTTAAGAACGCCTTGAGTGATGATGCTCTGGCTGTTGCTGCCGCTTCGGTGCACCGGCGTGATTTTAGCACTTTTGTTCACGTCGATATTTTTCTTCGTGTCCTTTGCATTTTCCTGTGATTGCTTGTCGATGGGCGCCAGCGAGAACCCCTTGAAGTTGCCGAAGAAGTTGACGGAAGGGTTGACGTTACCTGCGGGGCTGCGGTCGGAGTCGCTTCGTAGAAGGCTGGAGCTCATGTCATCCGGGTTGGACAGCGTGTGTACGACTGGTTGGGCGTTGTTCTGGCTGTTATTCTGGAAGTTGGACGCGAATTTGTTGGCGCTGCGCGATATGCGCTGATGCAGGCTACCCTTTTTCGGCGACTGTACCCTGTTGGGATAAAATTTATATTAATCATCGCATTTTAAACTTTTGAATGAATACTAACTGATGCAAAGTAATATTAGTAGTGAGTTAGTGTTGATTTTTAAAATTTTATATTATTAGCTCGATTCTGTTCCACATTGCGAGCGCATATGACGCACCACATAAGGTAAAGTTTATCATTTTTTTATGAGTATCAATAAATATTTAAGGGCAAGGATAGATTCAATTCCCTAATATCAGTGCCTTTTTAGCACATTGGAAGTGATTTACAGCACACTGACAATTAAACTTCTTTAGCTTTGTACTCAACATTGCGGTGTTATCTTTCTGAGGCGCCTTTACCACAGGGTCGGTACCAACGAATCCATTCGTTTTGTTTTCGTTTCTGTACTAATTCTGTACAGACTTACCGAATGCACATAAATAAATGGAAGCCTCCTCACTGAGTATTTTCGGTACAGAATCTTTACTGAGTGGTTACACAGCTTTCTATACCGAGTACTTCCGATAGCTACTGAATTATTCGACTCGCTCGTCCCGTCACCAAAACGATACTGCATCGAAATCGAACCGGAAACGAGTTTTCCCCGACGCGGTGATTAAGGCGCCTTAAGTTGATCAAACGTTGAATCATAGAGTATTTGGAAGCTGTAATAACGTTTACACATAAAAACATCTTTACGCCAAGTGATGAACGGGGCAGGAAAAAAAATAAATCAAAACAGCAACGAATTATAAATGATATAATAAACGAACTGCGCTATAAAGTGGTTCCCCGAAAATTGTGATCAAGTGGGCGGTACCATGATTAACAATCCGATCATGGGATTGGTTGGGTTTTCCGTTTAACAATATCTTACCCAATGAATGGATAGCCGAATACATTTGCAGATATTTGATTTGTCAAAACATTTTGTTTTGGTGCGTTGAAGTTAATATTATACTTTAACTGTATGTGTTTGAAATCATGTTTAAGTAGCCTTTGTTAAAGGATAATGCTTCCGTTATTCGTTGGAAAAGAGTTATGAAATAGAACTTTATGTATTTCTATATAGCGCTTACATCTTCATTAATATTTACTACTTAAAAATTTATATGCATCATTAGGAATGACCAAGAACACGTAGTTATAAAAATTATTGATAAGGTTAGGTATTCCTTGAGGCATTAATTATGTTAGTGAAGCAATTTATATTCATCAAAATCTTATTTCAATCACGAAAGATAGAACCACATGCAAAGTTACAATCAATCAATTATTCTCAACTGAGCTTATATCGTATTCACATGCTATATCAAAGGAATCAATCATTTATTATACATGCATACTAAAAAACAGTTCACCTTTATACCCTATACAATAGGGATGATGACGTCACGAGCGCGTCAAGTTTATGAGGGGTGCTCATAAACTTTGACGCGCTTTATATTGCCCATTTTTTGTTTAATTGACAAAAGAATAAATAAGTGTCTATTATTTTTATTAATTTAACAGATGGACTGTATATAAATTTAATTCTTTACCCCGTCATCATCTCTATTAAAAGAAAACTTTTAATAAAACAGTACATGCAAAAAGCGAAAACATACATTAACCACTCACCAAGTTAAATACAGCAAAAACCAAACTCCATCCATCTAAACTAAAGTTGAATGTTACCAGTGGAAGGTTTGTTTGATATTTTTTTATTGATAGAAGTAATGTTGTCTTATAAATGCGGAATGACTTAGTTTTTTAAAGCTTTAAGTTATGATTGTGGTTAAAAACACAATTATGACATCAGTGATTGATCTTATCTTGAGCATATTTAGAAAGGGATATCGATATATATAGCACATAGCGACATCCCTTACTAACTGTACTCAAGTAAAGATCAACTAAGTTCTCATTCTGTAATATGAGCCTTAGAGTTCTACGCCTTTCGATGCTCGAAAATATAAATTAAACTTCACATGTTTTCAACTCAAAATGCTGTTTAAAAAAACATGCTAATGCAAACTGCTTGACTGAAAACTTTCAACTGGTAACAAAGTTTAAAGAAGTACACTTATATCGTATTTACATTTTTATGTTAACTGTTTATGTTCTATGACAAAGGAAGAGCGCCATCGATTTTTTGGGAGCGTGATATACTACTCATCAAATACTACATGCACAACAAAAAATACGATTGCCAAGCCAACATTAACAATAACTCGGTTATTGTAACAACTTATCTTAGGATTTTATTAAATCGGCTCAAAAACAGTTAAGTACATGACTTTAAAAAAAATGGCGAAATGGGAAAACGTGAAATAACAAAAGAGGATCGCAATAGACAGCAAACCACTCCCACCACACCCCCCACATCATTTAATTGTTGTATTTGGAATACGAAATATTGCTTTATTTTATGTTTTTTTAACCGACTTCAAAAAAGGAGAAGTTTCTGTGTTCGCCTGTATATTTTTTTAAATTTTGTGGTCAGAAAACAAAATAATTGTACTTTCTGGTGATAAAAATATCATAAGCGTATAAATTCTAAATACGACTATCGTATTTTTGTAATGCCTCATGTAATTTTTTGATATTAAAAAAATTACGCATTTTAATTAGTAGGGAACAAGTAAATACTTTTTATTAAATTGAACGAATAAGTGTCCTCCTCAAGATTTTCGAAAGATGATTTTGATTGATGATTAGAAGGATAGCAGGAAAATGAAGAAGAGAAAGTTTGGAAAATAGATTTATTAAGAACGAGACGCTAAAAAGTATAAGAAATAAAGAAATAACAAGACAAATTACACTTCACACTAACATAGCATTCAAAACTATCATCAACACATTAGTAAAAGAAAAAAAAATATTTATTGTTTTCAAGTTATTTTTCTGACTTGCAGTGCGCTGTTGCCATTATTAGAATATAAAAAAATATGATGGTTAGTCGGGTAAATAATTCTAATTTTAACCCTATCACGACACCTTTCGGTTGGGCATTCAAAATAATTTCGTGCTTCGAAATCAATATTTGTAAAATCTTTCAAATTTGACATTTAGAAAACTTCACAATCAAGTCAAATTGATAGGCTTAAAAAAATATTGAAATTAGACGTACAGAGGGCTCAGCACAAGAACTAAATCATAGAAAGAGTTAACATTCAACTCATAAAGTCGACTCATATAGTTACCTTATTTTTACATATAGACCAAAAAAAGGAATGAACCATACTATAAAAAGCGTGTGTACCTACCGCTATACAAACGTTAAATAGATTACCTGGTTATCTTTACGATACCGAATCAAAAAGCGATTTAATGTCAAATGCAACCTGCCAACACGCCACTTATACTTATTGGTTGGGTAATACTTTGTTTGGAAATCTTTTCGTTAATCTATTGTCTATGGGAGTGAAGCTCAAACGCTCAAACTTCTATGCTTTAGCTCTTGTTTTAAGATAGTGATCTATGCCATTTTTGTCACCGTTAATTTTTTCTACCACTAATAGACAAATGTTATAAGAGCGGGTAAAATGTGCATTTTATTGTTTAATTAAAATAAAACTCTTTATGACAATAGTGCAGATGCCAGAAAGAAAGTAAAGCCAATACATCAAAACCAAAAAAGTTCTATTGATATACAATCCAAGAAGTTAACAATCCGCAACTTCGATGTGTCTTCGTATGCAGTTCATTTCAAAATGATGATATGATATGATTATGATGACTAAAATGATAAATAAAATAATTTTTAAAATGGATTGATTTTGTTTAAATTTGGTTGGACCTGAAGTGATTTAATATGATCAACAATTAAGTGAAATTAATGTATTTAATGTTAAGCTCAAGTTTGTTGCAACACCCCAACGGGGATGACCCCGTTGGGGTGTTGCGAGTAAGTGGTACATGAGTACCACTCACTATTAAGTATGTAAGACCTTATAATAAATAATGTACATGAGCAATGTGATATAAATAAATAAATTACACAATGAATTTTCTCCAGGTATTGAAATTGATCTCCAGCGACTTTTATCTAGAATTGTAGACTTCTTTGAGTGTATAACTTCACACCATTAGTATATGTGTCGCTCTCGTTATTGTTATACGTGTTTGAACGCCTTAATTGCCTAATTGCATTCAATCTTTGTTTTGGTTGTAACGCCTGTGCAGACGAGGGACTTTTGTCCGCCGAATAGAACGATTTCGGTGACACATGCTAGCACAGCGTGTGCGTTGAGTCTGTGACAAGTCCTCGGCGGACATTTTCTTTACGATTCAGGGACTCTTGTCCTCCGCGGGCAATAGTACTTCTTCCGCCCAGGCCATTAAGATTATTTTTTGAATTTGATTTAAGAACAAAAAAAATCTTCCTTCCTGTCTTTCCCACCATTTTTTATTTGTGAAACTTGCCCACACATCGCTTACATAGATTGAGCCAATATTACAAACCAATTCCATTATGTTGATATGTGGGAGATATAGAATTGCATAAAATACAACAAGCATTTCATTACGATTATTAATTAATTAATAAGTGTTGTAATTGTAATGACACATTTTATTACCTCGTTAGAAGTGTGTTAATATTTATTAGACTATTTAATTTTCCTATACTATTATATTAGTTACTAAAATATCATTAGGGTAATTTTTAAAATTGAGTATTTTAGCTAAATAAACGTCTCAAATGTTGAAACCAAACCTAAAACCTTTGTACTTATAATGTGATACAAATACTTAAATTGTTTTCTTATAATTAATTAATGAGTATTACATACATAAATGCATTACCTATTACTTAAAAATGCTTATGCTCAAAATAAAAAATAACCATAACTAAAAAAACACTTAAACGTCGTTAGCGTCTCTCTTTATGCTATGCAAACGGGCCCTGCCGGGGCCAGCAATCATTTCATTAGTGGTGGAGGCTAAACCAGTCTTAACTATGGTGACGGAAGGTTTATTTTTCTCTGGCTTCGGGCCCAGAGTGGGTTTCGCGGCGATTTTCGGTTTCGAGACATTACAATCGTTGTCGCTCGCAATTTTAATATCGTCCTTATTGATTTTTCTGTCCAATTTCTTTAGCGGTTTCGTATTCTCACGTTTGGTGGGCGAAAGCAAAATTTTGTATAGATTTTTCGGTTTCGCTTTAGGACTTTCGGCGTTGAGTTCGATTTGCGAATCGGCATTAGTTTTGGCTACCAAGTTTTTAAGAGGCGAGTTGTTGGGGAAAGATAAGTTCATGTTTGGTTTATGAATGAGTGAGCGAACGTTGCATACTAGATTGTGTACATACGATTTCCTTGGGTTCTTCCACGAGAACAGTACGTTGTGCTTCGAGTAGTAAGACAGGAAGAGGATCAGCAATATCAATGGTATGATGCCGAGGAATATGATGTACATTGCCACCATAAAGTTCCTTTGCGCTGCGAAAATAAAAAGAAAAGTTAATTAATCATTTAAAAAACTCGGAGTCTTTCGCACTAATGAGACTTCACATAATCTTTACATTTAAAATATTCTCAGATTGATTCATATACACTTGCGAATAATGAATTCAGATCAACACTTCTCCAGGTTTACTCAATCATTTGTTAAAACTACAGTCGGTTATGAATATTTTTAAAAGTATTACTTTTTTATAATATATACTACTTGTAGCGGTTCATACAAGACACTAAATTTTTAGTACCATACCATGTATGGCCCGCTGATATATAAACTTTTTAGTAAGATTTAACTTTCTTTATTATTAAAATATGAGGTTGTTAAAATTTACATTCAGACACGTTCGCGCGGAAATTTTACATGTAGTCTGTTTTAATATTAACTATAATTGTTCTTTGTATAAGATAATAAGTAATAAAATGATTATTACACAAATTGATGAAGATTTTAATTGACCCACGTGTTCGACATAATCGTTCCTGGATCTACACGCTTCACGTTATGTTTTTTAATGTTGACTACCACAAACAAGCCAAAATCTAGAAGCTAATATGTAAGGTGGGAAAAAGTCCAAGAAACATTTCAATGTTACAGGATTTCTAGTTTTTTTTAATATCTACGCAGGCAAAGTTTTATAATTTTCACAATTTGGGCTGCTGTTGCCCATTTTCTCTCAGGTAGTCAGCGCGTTCGTCTGCGACCGTTGAACTTAAAAGCAACTTTCGCAGTGGTCGGTCATTGGATGGATGACCAAAATCTTTTTTCTCGAGTTCCTCCGTGCTTCGGAAGGCACGTTAAGCCGTTGGTCCCGGCTGCATCTGTAGTCGTTAGCACCCACCAATCCGCAATGGGCCCGCGTGGTGGGGCACGGCCCAATCTCCCTATACCATCCATTGGGAAGGCCTGTGCCCCAGCAGCAACATTAATGATGATGATGATGATGATGAATGAATAAAAATATTAAATTACCGCTAAGATCAGTAGCAGGTCCAGAATCATACGATCCGCCGGCACCAGGTAGAACGCATAATGGAGGCGCGAATCCGTCCTCGCAGTGACAATGGCCTGTGTATACAAAAAACCCCACGACTTTATTGACAAATCTTTTCTATTCTATTTTTTATTTGGAAAACTTACAGGTTTAGTACTTAGTACTTGGCCAAAAATGTAAATACAAGATGAGATTTCGTCAAAAAGTATTGGACACGTATTTTTTCTTTAATTGCATAATCATAACATTACAAAGATATATTGATTTGAAATGTCACATTAGGTCACGTTTTGGTGCAATTTTTATTTAAGAGTGACGTCACGAGCCCTCACTCCCAAGCTTTAACGCCATTTTTTGGTTGATTGACCTAAGAATAAAAATATGTAGCCATTACTTTTGAATAATCTTTTGAAATCTCTAACAGACAAACTTCATAGAATTTCGTTACTTTACCCCTTTTGTCACCCCTACTATAAAGAATATGATCATTTCATCAATACATTTATTTTGAGAAAGCTCTACAAATTCCCATCACTGAGCTGTGTATGGTAATTCAAGATTACCTAACACTTTGTATACATTTACTCTTGAAACGTTTAGAACGGACTATATGTTCTTTACAAAAAAAATATTTTTTAGCAATTTTAAAACATTTATTTTTTCTTTCTATATCAACTTTCGTATTGGAAGGGTGGCCGAAAATTACTATCTCGAGGTGGCGATCCACCCGCACTGGGCCCACGTGGTGGGTCATGGCTCAGGCTCCCTATTCCATCCATAGGAATGGCCTGTGCCCCAGCAGTAAGGACTGTAATAGGGAAGATGCAAATATAATATTTACGAAAATTTTATGATTAAAATGTTAAAAAAATATAAAAGAAAGGCTACTGCAACGTTTTTATTTTACATAATGTTGTTTTTTAACAATAATTACGAATTAAAAATTACTTGAAAAAACGTATTTTAAAACACCAATCAGCGTTTAGACACATCACTCCTGTTATGACAACTCATTTGAGGTTATGGTTGTAAAAGTGAATATTATTTTATGGTAATATTAATTACGTTTTTTGATAAAAATGGAAGTTGGGTTTATTAAAGCAGACTCCAGGAATTTACCAAGAGTTAGTGTTGACATGGTTGTAACTTCTTTTTCCAAAGTGCAGAGTTTATAAGTGTATAAATAAAAGGGACTTAATTACTACGGTATGTATAAATCATAGTTGTTAAACTTTGTATTTTATTCAGCGGCTTCTACACATAGCAGTTATTTCAGCTCAACAAGAGTATCTTACGGCGATAACGCAATCGGCTATGTCCAAATTAAAAGAGATGGAGAATTATGTACAGTAAAAAGTCGAGTTACTCCGAAGCATAAAGTACGTAAAGAAGGTTATCGTGCTATAGTTATTTAAAATGAAACACAAAGCTTGGTTCAGTCCTGCCAATGTGTAGAGTGTGCCACACATTGTAAACTTTATCCTATTTTTGACGTCATTCTCCAACTGTAAATTTAAAAATATGTTATAGACAGGTTTTGTATGTATTAGGTCCTACCTAGGTTACTAACGCGTTTTTACGTACAAGGAGATTAATTAAGCATATAACAAGTATATTCGCCGACTTACGTTAAAGTGATATTCACAGCATCGAATAATGGTCTTTGGAGAATAATTGTCATTTCTCTTCACAGTTTGAAACCACTTTTTTCTCAGTTTTGGGTCAATTAAATTAATTCAATCAAAAGTCAAAAACAATTTATTTGGAAATTTTGTTGAAGTAGAAGGACACATTGACAAAAAACATGAGTCAACACGGCTTTTTTTCGGAATATTAGTGGTATTGTTATGATCACCTGACGTTGATGAATAGTCCATTTTAATTTTTTATAAAAAAATATCTCGAAAGTCGAAAAAATATGTAAAAGTATGAAAATTTAAAGAAAGCGACAAACAAGTACGACCAGTGACAGACGGGAGTGACGTCATCGGAACCATAGGTCCGTTTTCGCGCGAAAATTGAAGCTGTCAATTTAAAACCGCATTTTTTCTGATAAATTATAATGTTTTTAATTTTTTATTATATCTGTGGTTTATTCTACATGGAATTCTTTAAAATGAAAACAAAAATAAAAATATTGCATCTTCCCTATTATAGGCTGATGATGATGATATCAATTTTAACCGTAAATTGGATATATTTATGAGATTTGACGACCTCCGTGGCCAAGTGGTCTGTACGCCGGGTTTCATGGTGTCGCCGACTCGAGAGGCCCTGGATTCGAATCCCGGTGGGGGTAGATGATTGTGTGATGAATACGAACATATGTACTCCAGTCATGGCTGTTTAACATGTATTTTCTAAATAAGTATACTTATATATTATTATGTACTGTATATGTATTCTATCCGTTACCCTAGTATCCCATAACACAAGATTTAAAGTGCTTACTTTGGGGCTAGGTTAATTGGTGTGAGTGTTGGAAATATTTATTTATTTTTCACTAGAATGAAAGAATAATGTTGATATGACTGTTTGTTGTCTAGAATAAAAAAAACATACCTTCGGAATTGCAGATCCCGTGTCCGTTACATTCTGAGGGGCAATCGGAAGTCTCCTTGTGTGCTACTGCCGCCTGTACCGACTGCACACTCACGCATCTCTGGTTCAAACACATCTGTAACAACGGACAAGTGTTTAACCACGAACCAGTACCCCTATCACGAACCATTATCCAATTCGAATAGTTTGCGAGTGCTAAATGTCAATGTCAAATTTTGTATGGAAATAATTTTTATTATTTTAAAGCATGTAACTGCTTCATGTTTAAATCTAAAGAAAATATAACTAGAAAAAATTTCACGCGCACCAGGCCCCAGACGGGACTCGAATTCGTTGGTCAGTGCATTCGCCCGGATTGCGAAGGGTGCGGGTTCGAGTTCCGTCTGCTGCCTGGTCCGCGTGGAATTTTTTCTAGTTATATATTCTTTGTATGGAAACTTTAATAGCAGCAGCAATAGTCATTAAGTACGTAACGAGAACTAAAAATCAGTACACATTTGACAATGACATTTCGGTCTCGCAATCGTTACGAATTCGTTTATTGGTTCGTGCTAAGGGTACTATAATGTATACTTCCGGACACATCTATCGGCCCACTAGGTGTTATAAGTTTCGACGGTGTGTACCAAAAATATGTTAGGTTGAGCAATCGTAACTAATAATTATTGATGTGTAACATTTTTCCTCTCGCTTTCGTGCAATTTGTGGAAGTGATTACTTGAAGTGGATCAGGAAGTTTGGAAAGCGCCCGCGACTTAGCTTTAAGTTAGTTTATTGAGAATCCTTCAGGAACCTAGCATTTTCTTCAGGATAAAAGTATCCTATGTCTCGATCTAGGTAATAAACTATGTGTGCCAAAGGAGATTGCTCAGCTTCCATACATGTTTGGCCTAAAGACCAATAATCATGAAAATTTGTTTCCTAGATTCGAAATTATATATAAATTACTGTAGAAACGAATATTATTGACGGACACCCCTGAGAACTTCTATAAACCATATACACTGAACAGATTAAAATAATAAAAAACAAATAAGTTATATAGTAAACTAGGGAAATCAAGCCAAGTACCGAAATTATGTATTAGATTCAGGTATATAGAGCATGTAGATTAACAGATAGTTGCCTGTTTTTAAAGTTAATGCATAAGAGTAACTTTTAAAATCAGGTGTCATTTCCGGTTAAAATAAGGTACTCTGTGACAGAAACTGTGTGATGATTGTGAATGAGCCACAGATTACAGAATTTTTAAACTCTCGTTAACCAAAGAAAGCTAAGAGATTTAGGTTCTATAGCCATATATTCAGTAGCTTCATTATTTTTGTTATGTTTTGACGTGACAACGTCTTAAATTAGGTTGCGGCTGGGAGTCACTTATGAAAAAGTGTAACGCTCGGTAACGTTACGATGAGTCTCTCGTGTTAAGTTTAAGTTTACATGTACAATGTTTTAGTAAACAAAATATATTTCTATAGTTAAAATTTGTGCAATTCTTATTTTCATTCAATTCCTTGTTCCTATTGTGCAATTTAATTATATTCATATCAATAAATATTCTACCGAGAAAAAGACGTTGTCACGTAAAATCTTCGCCCGTAAAACCGACTTTACAGGCAACCATTTTAATTAAAGAATTTGTATTGTGTAGTTTACTTCACGAGAATCTATGCCTAAATAAACAGATAACTGTGGTAGTTATTTTTTTTAAGATAACCATATTTTAGATTTTTAGTGTATTTATTACACCTTATAATTTTATTTATTTATTAATTTCAGGGAACGTAGGCCCATAGATAGATACCTTAAAGTCTAACATATATACAGATTATAATGTGTTTATGGAGGTGTTTGGCGAAAAATGCATGGCAATAGCCTTTATGATGTCGCCTACCATCTATAATAATTGTCTGAGCACATTTATATCTAGTGAAAATGATAATATAGTTGTGGATATTAATACCACAGTGTAATAAAAAAAATTATTTATTTTATCGATCTTTACAAAATAGATTTGTTTTTATGGTATATAAACAACTTCGATCAGTCTTTGGCTGAATGTTACTACACCCATAGCCATTAAAAATGATTCGTATGTTTTCCAAACCAGTAAAATAAAAGTCCTTTTTAAAGTTAATATATTATACAAAGGTGTCCGTTGAAATCTAATGACTGTAAATTAAATTATAAATTACGCCAAGAATTACCGTGTATGTCAATATTTTTTGTGCATTTAGGCCAATTTGAACAATCTCCTTTCATTCCAATCCGTGCAGCCATTTTTGCGTGATTCAGTAACTAACTTTCACATTAATTATATTAAAGCAGGATGTTTGTGTGTTACAAACACACATTCGATAATGATTTATTGAATCATAGGGATACATTAAACCCTGCAGACAGTTATAGGACTTCTTGACTACTTTACCTGGGGAAAACTTATAAGGGACAGGGTGAGAGAAGTGGTATTTTTTCTATGAAATTTCAGGTGCTGTGAGTCTCATTGGACACCGGCAGTATAACCCTTTGGAATCAATCTAATATATAAAATTCTCGTGTCGCGGTGTTTGTGGTTAAACTCCTCCGAAACGGCTTTCCCGATTCTCATGAAATTTTGTGTGCATATTGGGTAGGACTGAGAATCGGACATCTATTTTTCATCCCCCTAAATGTTAAGGGTAATCCACCCATAATTTATTTTTTCAATTTTAGATATTTTTTTTTTATTTTTTTTTTGATACAGCATTAGTAAATACATACTATCCTAAATTTTCACTCTTCTACCACCAACCCCTATTTTTTTTATGGCGGTACGAAATTCGCTGGGTCAGCTAGTTATTAATATAAATAGTTACCTTTTCATGACCGCATTTTGCCCCGTCTGGAACCATGCCGGGGTCTACGTCGCTCAAGCCCAAATCTATGATGGCGGTACGACAAGGGATTATGGTGCCTGCAACAAAGATAATTAGATTTTAATTACTTATAGTAAAAGCTTGTAAAAAAGCAACATCATTTTATTAACTATTTGATGCTAAACATAGTTAATTGTTCCTTACTTAGTTGCGTACTACAACTAATTACACATCATAAAAGTATTAAACTCACGCGTGTTTTAGTAGAGAAGAGAACTTTCATATTGACAGTATTATTTCTCACGATCGCTAGCGAATTAGTCCGCGTTATCTTTAGTTTTTTCAATCCCGTTTTGAGTGATTGTTCACATTCAATTAAAAGCTTAGATTAAAACAAAAAGGGAAGATATGGCACTCGCGGCTCAAAAAAGATCCGCTTTAATTGTGGTGCATGACCATAATTCGCTTTAGTCACAATTGGACATTCAAAAACGCTGCATGTGCACTCAATATAACAATATTGCGTATATTCTGTGTTATAAAGGTAAACTATCCCTTCGATGCTTTTATAAAGAACACAAATAGTTCAAAATCAAATAACAAATGACGCAGCAACACTTTTCATTCGTAAAACTGTAAAAACTTTTTTTTCTCTAAAATCACGGTTTGTCGTGAATGCTATTTACGTAATCGCCATTTTATTATCAAGAAAAGGACAACAATACAGCTCAGCCGTTCGGACTCGCCGTTTCGCTCGCGCTGCGTTGAAGCGTACAGTTCTTCTTTCTTCAGTCTTTTCAGTTCTTCAGTCTCGCTCGCTCGATTGAATGTTTATCTACAGACGTGTGCGCGTGTGAGAGTTGCTTATGTAGTTGAGTCGGATCATATTTTATTTAATGCTAGTATGAGCGTACCGTATCTTCCCTTTTTGTTTTTATCTAAGATTATAAGAATATAACAATAATTATTTATAAAATCTAAACAAAAACTACAATTTCAAACCCCATAATTTATAATTAATTAAATAAATAGTAAAATAAATAATGTTACTAGCTGTGCCCGCGACTTCGTTTGCAGGCATGTCGGAAAATAACCACACCCGACCCCTATTACCAAGGGTAATAAAAAAATAGCCCGCGACCAATTCTCAGACCTACCATATGAACACAAAAAAAAATCGGTGAAGCGATTTTTATTAAATTTTTTCGGAGAAGTTTAATAACAAACTGTGTGACACGACATTTTTATATATATTATATAGCACAAACAAACTTGCCGTTGTTGATGATAAAGACTGCTGATAGTTGGCCTATAGTTTCCATACGAACTTTAGTCGTTCGTTGATATGGCGACATTGAAGCATTCCGCACAACTACATTTATAATATTAGTAGGACAGTAGGAAGAAACTCACCGTTGTTATTGATAAAGACAGCTGATAGTTGGGCTACACTCTCCATACCGAACTCTAGTCGTTCGTTGAGATGGCGACAGTGAAGCATTCCACACAAAGAGTCTTCAAACGAACACGCTTTGTACATTTGCCTGGTACGGGAATAACCGCAATTGCCGTTTCTAGAAAGAAGAATCATTTATTTTCTATTTCTCATTTCGTAAGGAAAGGCAAAGGATTCCATGAATGTACAGTCAAGTTTTGAATGTTATTGTTGTGTCTATAAAACATATTTTTTTAATGAGGCTTTGGTAGTAGTTAATAGTAATGTTTGAAAAATAGTTAAGTATTTATAATTTAGATTGAAATGTTTATGCAAAATGTAGGGACACACCTATGTATTCAGTTCAGTAAGGAATTGTATTACTGTATTAATGTTGATTGGTTTAGTCAGTCTCATATATACGGAGATACATTAAAGATTTCTACTATTATTCCTTCTCATATTTTACCTATATACTATGCCATAGAGAGTCCTTAAGAGACAAACAAAGATAGCTTAATTGAAAGCAAGTTATAAGTTTATTAGATTTGAAAATTGACGACCTTAATGAGAAGCTCGATAGCGCAAGTGGTTAGTGCGTTCATCCTGCGATTGTGGAAGTTAAGCCACTTTCGCAATGGTCTGTCATTGGATGAGTGACCAAAACTCGCCAGTGCTACAGAATGTACGTTAAGCCGTTGGTCCTGGCTGCATCTGCAGTCGTAAGCTCCCACCAATCCGTACTGGGCCCGCGTGTTAGGTCACGACCCAATCTTCCTATTACAGCCATGAGTGGCGTGTGCCCTAGCAGTAAATCAAATCAAAATAATTTTATTTTACACAGTAAGCTTAAAATAGGTACATTTTCAATTTTCATGCAATTATATAAAGGAATATCTTTAAAAATGGAAAAGAAAAATGTATTACGATAAACAAAAAAGAGGTAAATAATGCAAACTTGGTAGAAATTTCGTGCCTGCGCCAAATAGGATTTAAATTCAGCATTGTATCAGCTCAAGGAACTGACGCTGGATTTCAACTAGACCCCGGATTATAAGTAGTAAGGACATTATTAGGCTCATGATGATGTGAACAGTGTAACAGTAAGTTATATTTATGAATGTATCAAATAAAGTTGTTCTTATTTTCAATAGGCTATGTGACAGTATGTAAAATAAAGTACCAATTGTTAGCATCTGTATTTAATAAATGTATTAGCGATTTACTATTCTGCGAGAACAAATAATTAATAACTTTTAAAAGAATAGAATTGATATTTTTGTTCTATGGTCACGTGACCGAAAACGCCTGGGTTTGGCGAAGACTGAAATGACGTCACACTCTAGTAAACTTTAAGTCAAAGTGACATTACATTGTATCGTTCACGTTCAATGACAGGCGTGTGACATCACATACCAGTGAGACGTCATAATGTGCAGAGAAACGTTTACGCGCCAACATTAAATATTTTTTGATTAGTTTTCTTACTGAAATACACAACAGAAAATCTTGCCAAATATCCTTTTCTACAGTTAACATACAAAAAGAAAACATACTTATGTTTTTATTTTTTAAGCATTTAACTGCTAGATGTTTAAATCTAATGAAAAGTTTACTAGAAAACACTCCACGCGGATCGATTTTTTCCTAGCCTTAGGCTGCAAGGCAGCGCCATCTCTTCGCAATGTAGGTAACCCACAATGTCAAATGAATACTTTTACAAATATTAAACATTTGAAAGAAGAAATAGCAATTATAGTTATGTTTTTAAGCATTCAACTGCTAAATTTTTTAATCTAAAGAAAAGTTTACTAGAAAAAACATACTTATTCCCTTTGTTGTTGTTGCTGGTGTAGCATTTCTCGTGTGAACTCTCTCCCGTGGTGCCCCACAGCAAACGGCATTGGTCCGTGTGAGAGCGGCACGAACCTCGCACGCAATATGCCTACAATAGAGTTCATTTTCGCTTGACTCAGAACATAATGATAGAAGAACTATTAGCTTTAAGTCCGCCTTTTGGCCATTTTGTAATAGAAAAAGTAGTACCGAACTGTCTTTGGATCGAAACTACGAGATTTTTAGGTAATATTGTTAAGTTTTTGACTGACTGCCAGGATTGCACTGGATAATTATCACGATAAATATCAAGATAGTTACGTATTGATCATTATCATTGATAATAAAGTGTAACTATGATAGAAAGCACACAACGAGAACCAGGCATAATTACCAAAATCTAAATATAGTTTCTAAATTACACGAAGAGGATGATATTCCAATGACTTAATTGGCCAAAAATAAGAGATAAAAGCAAAAATCTAAAAGGCAGAAGGCAGGCAATAAGAATAAAAGTATGATTAAGAAAAAACCATCGATTACAAAGATTTTCAATACCAATTTAAATTTTTAACGTAATATTATCATATTTAAATGAAAATAAAATAATAATAAGTAATAAATAAATACTTTCATTTATATGCATAAATTATTAACCCATTGTTTAATAATTATCTTGATAATTTGCAACACTGACTGACTGCTTTTACAGACTTGGTTTTTCAGAAAAAACAATTGCAGTATATACCTTGTTATCGCTGCATGGTGTGGCGTCCATCTTGAAAACATCGGCCGGGCAGAATTCAGAATAGCCGGTGCAGTATTCCGGCAGATCGCACTCGCGGTCTGCACTACGGCATACGGTGCCCGCCGCTTTGGGCCGGCAAGTCTATACGATAAAGAATTAACAAATAAAGTAACATTTTGAGGAATGCAATCAGAACAAACTCGGTACAAAATAAGCCACTTGAAATACAATGTAAATTTATGTAAATTTATCGGAACAGAAGTCGGAGTCAGAGTTTTGAAATTTGATTTATGGGAGTCGGAGGCAGAGTCGGGGTCAGAGGCAGAGACAGAAGTGATCACAAGAGAGATATTTTTCATTGAAGAACAATTAAAACATCATTCAGTCCACCTTTTTTCATTTTAATTATAAAAGTCTTTTTTCATTAAAATTCACTTATTTTAAATATTATTTTTTAGTATATAATGGCCGGAACTATATAATATTTATAATCAACCTGGATAAGGAATGTTCAATGTAAATAAACTTTGAAAACTAGAGATCTTAAACCAAACATACACACATGGAAACTTTGATCAATCGCACATTGAGCCACTACTCGCGGCCACCAATCGAAGCCGCTAGTGACTTAGTGGCTGCGAATTGTCACTCAAAGCGCGGTTGGTGGTTTCGCTTGTCACTTTTTTGGTACGAAATCTACATAATACTTTTTTTTTTCTATGTATAAAAATCAAATGCTGTTCGTTTGTCTCACTAAAACTCGAGAACGGCTGGGCCGATTTAGCTGATTATGGTGTTGAAATGTTTGTCGTAGATCAGGGAAGGTTTAAACGGTGAAAAAATATGGAAAAAGTGCGAGGAAGATAATAAAAACAACCATTTCTTTTACGCATATTAACTGTTCTGCCTACTTTCCTGTCCAGAATACATGACATTACCGATCAAGATGTTCGGCCTTTTAGCGAAGGGAGAGTTTTAATGTCGTTAGGATAGGTAATATGAAGTACACTGGGTCGTCTAGTATATATATATACAGTGGTGGTCACATAATTAAAGACACTCCCTAATTGACCACAAAAAACTTACTTATGGTACTAAAATTAGCTAAAATTGGTATTTAATCTAGTGTTATTGTTATTTAACTATACACGACGTTGTATTCTTACAATGTGGGACAAAAAATAGTTGTGTTCGTTAGTAGTGCTTGCTTTTTTGCTTCCAAGCTTCTCTAAAAGCTGTGTAAAGTTGATCGATGTTTGATGTCCGTTTTGTCGCCACTGTCTTCTTCACCTGGTACCACAATTTTTGTACTGGGTTTAAATCAGGACCGTACGGGGACCAATCCAAAACTATCACAGACTGGTTCCTTAAAAAGTCTTTTATTACTTTTGCAGTGTGTACCATTATTCTGGTGGAAAGTCCAAATGACCGGTAAATTTTGCTTGGCATAGGGCAGCATGGCTTGTTTTAAAATATTCTTGTACTGAAAGTCTTTAATTATGTGACCACCACTGTATATATATATATATATACTAGCGGACCCGACAGACATTATCCTGTCTAGTATGGTAGCGCCGTCTGTCGGATCCAATGTAAAACATTCCAAAATCAACAACTACTAATAAATTAAAAATTAATTAAAAAAACATTGTCCAGCGGACAAAATTGTGAATGTAAACCATTCTCAGATCCCCTTGAACACCCACAAAAAATTTCATCAAAATCGGTCCAGTCGTTTAAGAGAAGTTCAGTGACATACACACTCACAGAAGAATTATATATATAAAGATATATATTATATAAAAATCATTGTTGTTAATTCGTCTCGCTAAAACTCGAAAACGGATGGGCCGATTTAGCTGATTTTAGTTTTTGAAATGTTTGTCGTAATCCAGGAAAGGTTTAAACGGTGTAAGTTAGTTATAATAATTATTGCATTTTCCCATATAAACTGTTCTACCTACTGTCCTGTCAACCTATGAAAATGGCAATGCCTGATATTAACATTACCAATCAAATTTTTTATAGCGATGGTCGAGTATAATGTGACGACCTCCATAGTTTGTACTCCGGGTTTCAAGGTGTCGCCTACTCGAGAGGTCCCGGGTTCGAATCCCGGTGGGGCAGATGATTGTGTGATAAATACGAGCATTTGTACTCCAGTCATGAATGTTTAATATGTATTTCTATATAAATATACTTATATTTGTGCTGTTTATGTATTCTATCCGTTACCCTAGCATCCCATAACACAAGCCTTACAGTGCTTACTTTGGGGTTAAGGCTAATTGGTGTGGAGTGTTGCAAATATTAAAAAGAATAAAAAATCGTTAGATTAAGTGATAGGAAGTAAACCAGGTCATCTAATCCTAAATAAATGTGTTCATTATTTTACAATGTCTGACCTGGAGATCGCAGCATGTGCCCGCGGCACAGGTGGCGTTACTCCGCAGCATACAAGTGGCCGGGTTGCAGCACGCGCTGCAGAGATCGGGGCTCTTGTCTATGGAGATGCCGCAGTCGCACTGCTCGCCGGGCTCGACGAATCCGTTGCCGCAAGTCGGCGAGTCGAACATCCGCTTCGGTTTGTTCCTGCCATGAATACGTGCTAATGTGAAGTCAGCAGTAACAGTACCCTCAGCACGAACCATTATCGAATTCGAATAGTTTGCAAACCGAAATGTCAATGTCAAATTTTGTATGGAAACTTGAACAGCAGCGGCACAAAGTACGTAACTAGAACTAAAAATCAGTACACATTTGACAATGACATTTCGGACTCGCAAACGATACGAATTCGATATTGGTTCGTGCTGGGGGTACAGTTCTATGTGACCTGGTTTCGGAACAGTTACGTATGACAGGTTCAGGTCACCAGTTTTTATTGCCAGACAAAGCAAGCAAAAAACACACACTTGGATATTTTTTGCAATACTTTTAATAATATCTATACTTATAATAAATCTGTAGATGTCAATTCTGTACATGAAATATATTTTTAAAATAACTATCAGGGGGTGATTAGTGATCGATACTGATGCCAAAAATGCAATCAGTAAAATTTTTGTCTGTCTGTCTGTCTGTGTGTATGTTCCTTATAGAAACAAAAACTACTCGACGGATTTTAACGAAACTTGGTACAATTATTCCTCATACTCCTGGGCAGGTTATAGTATACTTTTCATCATGCTACAATCAATAGGAGCAGAGTAGTGAAGGGAAATGTTGGGAAAACGGGAGAAGTTACTCCATTTTTTAAGCTTCCGTCGCGTGTGCAGCCTTAATGGTTAAAGTTACATAGAAATCATGTATGACGGAAATATTCTACATAAAATTTTCTAGAAAATATCCCGCAACAGCATATGTCTATCTTTTATGGTTGACTCACAATAACACGTGTAACTCCCGATAGCTTAGCAGTTCGGAGCATTCTGATCATATTTGTTTACTCTTACTTTTATAATACTCTGACTCATCCCTAATTTAAAAAAGTTACCATTATTACATATTCAATAAAAAAAAAACTTAGAAATCGGTATAGAAACACCAAACTTATACATGAAATAAGCCATCGCGCCGTCGCACGTGAATACTGAATCATGCTATAAGGATTATTTTTGTGTAACGGTTGCCGCGCTCGACACGGGTCGCGGCGGCGCAGCGGTAGGGTATCAAAAGGCGGGAGGTCCGAGAGCGAGCTGTCTAAATCTGTTTTCTGCGTCGCTCCCTCCCCTGGGGGACGATCGCTTCCGATGAAGCCTTAGAGGCCTTCCCGGCCAGAGGCAGCCCCTACGGGTGTTATTTAGTCAGTACGAGTCTGACATAACATTGCAGCCGGCTGTAAAAAAAATAAAAAAAAAGAGAGCGAGCGAGCTTCAATATTTGGCTATTGATGCGTTTAGAGCGCTCGACGTTATTGACAGATAATAATTGATATTGAGAAACCGTGCTTATCAGCGCGACTTTTAGTCTTTAAATAGTTTATTTGAATTTCTTTTGTTGTTATTTTGTAAAATAGGTATTAGTTGTTTTGGTAGTGTTTAAATATTCGTTCAAATTAAAAAATATTAAGCGTAGGTACTTTTATTAATTAAAGTAGTTATAAGTATTTATTTTTAAGTGAAGTAGGTATAGGTAGATAGTATTGCACAGGCGTTTCAGCTTTATTTTCATTTCTTTTTTGTTGTGAGTTGTATATATTTCTGGTTATAATTCTATAAGAATATTTTAGTTTAAATAGTCACTTAGATTTTAAGTGTAAGGTAGCTAAAGTTAGGACCACGTATTAGTTGTTTTGGTAGTGTTTAAATATTCGTTCAAAGTGTAATTTAATCATATAGGATGAATGTACGATGGCCCATCGAAAAGCAGTAGAAGCGGTAGACAGAACTTTAAGGGATATAAGACAAAATGATCGACCAATGGGCGGTATCACAGTTTTATTTTGTGGTGATATCCGACAAACATTACCGGTAATACCACGGGGAACCCGAGCTGATGAGGTTAAGGCTTGCCTGAAAAGCTCTTATTTGTGGCGTGATATACATCGGTGCATTTGACTATAAACATGCGAGTGAGAACTGTAGATAACCCGGATGATCGTGAATTTTCTGATATATTATTAAAGAAAATACCTTCACCAAAGATACCTATCCACTGCTACACCAAGGAAAACTTATTCTGACGCCTGAGTTATGTTGTATAGTGCAATCCCAACAACATCTTATATCGTTAGTTTACGGTGACGTAACAAATATATTAAATAAGGACAATTCTTGGCTATGCGAAAGGTCCATTTTAATTCCTCGCAATGACCAGGCATCTGAGATTAATAATAAAATACTGTCGAATATCCAGGGGGAAAGCAAAGTTTATAGTTCAATAAATAGAATGGCCGATGAACAAGAAGCCACTAATTACCCGATAGAATTTTTAAATTCTTTAAATATGCCCGGACTTCCTTCTCATGAAATTTGTTTAAAAATTGGCATTCCGATTATTCTGCTCCGAAATTTAAGACCACAACAACTTTGCAATGGAACTCGGCTTAAAGTAACCCAGTTGCAACAAAATGTAATCGAGGTTCAAATTTCAATAGGTTGCGGTGCAGGAGAAACCATCTTTACTTCCAGAATTCCCATGATACCAAATAATTTTCCATTCCAATTTAAAAGAACGCAATTCCCAGTATCGGTGTGTTATGCAATGACAATAAATAAGGCTCAAGGGCAGACTTTTCGTGTTGCTATAGTAGATCTCGGTGTCAGTTGTTTTTCACATGGTCAGTTATATGTCGCTCTTTCCCGGGTTAGCAGTTCTAGAAATCTTTATGTTCACGTGCCGGACGGGTCAACTTTCAACGTAGTTTACCCGGAAGCTTTGCGCTGAAGTATTTTCATTCTATATGTACTTAAGCCTCATGTGAAAGTGATCTAAACAATATTACCAATACATTAACATAATAACATACAAGGAGTTACACGCTGATGATCTCGGGGCACAGTGATAATAATAATATCCTGCGGTTCCTTATTGCGATATTTTTAACAGTATTGTGGATTGACATATTATATTTCCCTACTAAAATACGAAAGTTAATCTGTCTGTCACATCAAAACCACGGAACCCTGAGGAAGGACATATGCTACTTTTTTACGAAAAACGACGAAAACGCGGACGAAGTCGCAGGCTAAAGCTAGTTAGATAATAAGAAACGATTTAATTATTGTAAATGGCTTCCTTTACTCTATTTATAAGATAACTTTAATGAAGCTATTTAAAAAGGCACTTAATTACTATGAGCGCTCCTTTTTCACAATGGCAGTTGATATAAGCTTAGGAAATATTTGGCTAAGATTGGTCTGGCAGCTTACAAAATATAATACTAATAATATAATGTTTAATTACTCTTCACAACTTACATATTATGGGACGCTATACAAGGTAGAAATAATCTTGCATAAGATGTGACAGTCTGGTGCCTGAAATAGGTATGGCAATACCTGTGTTACAGGTTACCAGGCAAGGTATGAATGATTCTGATACTGACGCAAACTTGAGAAAACCTTCAAAAAACCTAGTGTTTGAGGCTTTTCTTAAAAAAAGATCATGAATAAATTTTCTCAATAAATATTCCATTCCCCGGTCGAAGGCCAGGCAGCGCTTGAGACTTCAAACTGCACGAGAACCAATGTACCAGAGTGACGGACGTACTGGACGGGCTCATTATAAACTTGTCGTCGGGACACTCGCAGTCTTGTTCTTTGCCGAAATTATGGCCCATTCCGTGAGCTATAAACAATGATGAATAACTCACCGTAAACAGTAGTCCATTCCCCGCTCAAAGGCCAGCGCTAGAGACTTCAAACTGCACGAGGACCAATGTACCGGAGTGACGGACGTACTGGACGGGCTCATTATGCACTTGTCGTCTGGACACTCGCAGTCTTGTTCCGTATCGTGTTCCATGCCGAAATTGTGACCCATTTCGTGAGCTATAGTCGTGGCCACTAAGCCTATGACTTCCGAATGGTTCGTAGCTACTCCCCCGGAGAATTCGTAAGTGCAAATCGGACCCTTCAACGCTTTGCCCACTACACCCTCGCGGAACTTTTGGCGGCTGTAAGAATAAGAGTAGGTTAAAATAGAAAAAAAAACAAGTGTAAGCTTCGTTAGGTAATATTTTTTATTTATTAGCTAGTGGACTCGAAATGCATTGTATCGTCCGATAAAAAAAGAATAAAAAAGACTGCAGCGCCACCTGGAGCAAGGTAAGTAAAACTGTAACTTTAGTTTTCTTAAATTTTGCGAATATTACGCACATCTTTCTTACTTGCTTCACAAAAACTTTCGAAAAAATAAGGCAATGGCAAAGTCGTTCTCATGGCGTGACAGTGACGTGAAGGGAAATAAATAATCGTGTAATTTACTAAATTTTATGATATTAATACAATAATAAATTTTTCATATTGAGATATTCAGGCTTTTCGAGCGTTGTTGCATTCCAGCGTACGCACGTTCTATGGTGTGTAAAAGAAATTTAGTACAGCACAATTGTTTTCTGCATCAGCTATCTTCGTAACAGTTACGACGTAACTCCATTCACACATAAAGGTGGAGTGATTTGGAAGGCCTGGCAAAAAAAAATATTATTATAATATCTGCCCACTCACGTGATCAAATGCGCATTATCGTTGGGTATGTCCGCCAATAGGATCTTCTTCCTGTACTGTAAGAAATTGTTGAGGGTATCGTCGCCGTTCTCGACTAGTTGAATCTCGTCGCGTTCCGTCCAAACCACCACACCAACTAGCGCTATGAATATGTTCAATGGGGCGTATACCTGAAACAAAGTGTACTTTGTTAATATTTATTAAAATACATGAGAACAAAAAAACAGAGCTACTTTTGTCTAAGGGTCACTAAGTGAGACCGCAGTAAGAAATTATTTGGATCAATAGCGAAGATCACATTATGAGATTGAATTACTTTAATTGTTTAAATTTGGCTTTGTTCTGTAACTTATTACGTTTACGATCTATAGACTCGTGGCATACGGACAGACAGATGATAGAATGTCAGCAATAATCTCATCTTCGTTTCAGGCTTCGTTTTTACCCTTTGAGTACGGAACCCTAAAACTGAATCATCGAAATCAGCGCATAAATGTGCGAACAACAATTTCTATATATATGTAAATGCATAATTAGGAACCTCCTCCTTTTTAAGTCGGTTAATAATAAAGTATCAGGGAAAGTTAATTGAACTATACTCAGTACTGCTATCTGAAAAGTTTTAATTTTTGTTACTGTCAGTCTACTGCAGGCTTATCGTGGTCCGACTGTACTTTTGTTTATCGTATTGCACCATCAAAACAGTTAATTTTCTGGTAATGTAATGATTATGGCACTGGAAAACTAATGGAAAATCCTTACAATATTGTAAAGGTGCTGTTTAAAATGTATGTGAAACTGCTGACTGCAGCATACAAAACCTCTTTGTTGAAATAAAAAATAAAAATGTACCGATTTATTATACATTCGTTTTATTTATTATACATTCGGTATTACCCGAAGATCGGCAGCTTTTACCGAACTTCGTCTTCGGCCGAATTTCGGTTATATCGCACGAATGTCGGTCGAATTTAGGTACATAACCTAAATTCGCTTAAAATAATTTAATTAGGAAATGAAAAAAAATAAAAGAAATGTAATTATTTTAAAATGAAATCTTGATCAAATGACGATTTGTAAGCAAGTAGTATAGGTAGAACTTGAATATTCGTTCGTATTTGTTTTTATTTCCCTAGAGAAGAAAATATAAAATAAGGATAGATGGCGCTGCTGCTGTCACGAAAACATTAGCTCTGTATTAAATTGTTATTTAAAAATATAGAAGTTTAAATTACGTTAAAAATACACTATAAAAATATTCAACGCAACATGTGAAATCAGTGTTAACGTTATCTTGAAAAATAGTGCCTTCTTATTTCAAATATTTCAATTTAAAAGTGTGGAAGTGATTATGCTTATAAACTGAAAACGCTTAAATTTAATTAAATGCTTCTTAATTAATTTGTGGAAGTTAATAAATAAATAAAATAAAATAAGCCTTTATTGCTGTAAAACATTAGAATTGAATTGAATAGATTAGAATTTTATTATTTCACAGCTTGTCCTTCGACAAAGGCCTCCTCTAAAGCTTTCCATTTTAATCGGTCTTTTGCTAGACGTATCCATTCTGGGCCTACCGCCTTTTTTATGTCGTCTTCCCAGCGTTTACTTTGCCTGCCTTTGCTTCTTTTGCTATCACGTGGGTACCATTCTGTGACTAGTTTTGTCCATTTCTCTTTTTCTTCTCTTAACATATGTCCTGTCCATCTCCATTTCATGCATTTGTACACAGTATGTATATTTTTGAATTTAGTTCTACCCTTTATAGTCTGTAATCTCACCTTGTCTCTTCTTCTGACTCCAACTACGCATCTCTCCATTCCATTTTGGCATACTTTGACTTTTTTGAGTTGCTGTTCGGTTAGTGCCCATGTTTGGCATGCATACGATAAACATGGAAGGACACATGTATCAAATATTTTTCTTTTCTCTTTGATATGCATGTAATTGTTCTTCATTACCTCGCTTAGAGACCAAAACCTTTTCCAGCTATTTGCAATTCTCCTATCTATTTCCTTCTGCATTGAGTCTTCTGTGGATACTAGTTGGCCTAAATAAATATACTCGTCAACATACTCAATATCTATGTTTTTGTGCCCGTTACTGATTTGAATGCTCTTCCTAATTGAGTTGGTCATTACCTTCGTTTTTGATGGGTTCATTGATAGGCCGACCATGGCGCTTTCATCGGATAGTTGTTGCAGCATGTCTTGTAAATTTTTAGGGTTTTCAGAAAACAGGATAATATCATCTGCGAAGCGTAAATGACTAAGTAGTTCTCCGTTAATGTTAAGACCATTTTTTTCCCATTGCAGGTTTCTAAAAATCATTTCCAGAACTGCAGAAAATAGGTTCGGTGAAATAGGGTCGCCTTGTCGGACACACGTTGTGGAAGTTAAAAAAGTGTAAATATACAACAATAATATTCAAGTGATTTTTATTATAGTGCAAAAATTCCTATTGCATGAATCATACTTAACGACTAGAAAAATGCAAAATAATTTCCCGTAAAAACATACAGCAAATTTGAACGCTCGAAGTTAAGTACGCTATGGCGCTGACGACTAAAAACGCGATCAGATCGAAGAATTTCCATAGGCCCCGAGATCGATCCCCGCTGCTTAAGATTTTATTGATTGGAATTTAAGTTTCCTTTTTTTCTCTTTGAAGGATTGTTAGCTAGCGTGTTGCTTATTCCTTGTGATATAGTTGTTATTAGGTGCAACTTAAACTGTTTTAAAACTTTTGTCTTCGTTCATTGGGAATCGAATGTAGCTGCATAAGTTTAAACATACGCAGACAATTTTTAGCTTTGATTTTGTGTGCATTGATATATATATATATATATATATATATATTTGCATTGAATTTTATCTATTATTTATATTTGTATTTACACAACAAAGGTTTTTAATCACTGTTTATCCTTTCACGCGAGTAATACATTGTTTCATATTATTAATAAGGTACCTACCTAGCTTGTTAATTCGTAATAATTGAACTTTTACATTTTGTTGTTAAAAGTGTTGGTTATTTGACATAAGTAACCCCACTTTTTTTTAAGGTTGAATTAACTACTTCTTGGGATATATCTATCGATTTTGTTTACATTATTCTATTAAAAATGATGACTCGTAAAGCCTTAGCTCGCCAGGAAGATTGCCAACTGGTTTTGCAGGAATTAAAGGCTTCCAAGAAGTTGGTTGAACAACTGCTTATGGAAAGGGAAGATAGTGAGAAGGAACTATTAGATGCTCTAGACAACAATAGTAAGCTTAAGAAGGAAATGTCTGAGTTGCATACTCAATTTTTTATGGCTATGGATGAAAAAGACAAGTTGCAATCTTTGGTAGACTGGTTCGACCAATGCAGTAATGAGTATGAGCAGGGCCTCAGGCGCATCACTGAATTGGAGTTATGCCTACAAGAGTCAAATAGCCATATTAATAATTTAGAAACTGATAAATTAAATTGGACTGTATCACAGAACCAAAGTCTATTTGAAGAATTAGTTAATAATGCCCCGGATATGGCTTCTGCTGCATACAATATAAATCCTGCGGTGTCTTTCAATTTAACTTGCAACAACTCAATTAACACATCTGAGGCTGTGGTCAAGGTTGAATGCAGCAAAAATAAAATATAAAAAATGTAAAATTGAATAAATTAATTAAAAAAACAAGTCATTGCTTAAAAAACGTAACTATTTTCACAAAAATTTGAAATACAGTAAGGAGCGTATAATGTTATTAAATAAACTAGACTTTTATTCGAATGAAATTAAACAAAAACAAGAAATTTATGACAACAATGTAATGTCATTAAATAAGAAAATTAGTTTACTACAAGAATCTCTAGTTACCTTATCTAATAAACATAATGCAACAAAAAGAGGTATGAGGGACTACACATTGACACTGAATCACCTTATGAACAACTCAAAATTTGAGGAATCATGTGATTTAAGAAATTGTTCCACTGCTCCTGGCCTGCTTGACTTGGAACAACTTGAATGGTCTATGTCGGTATGTGAGCCTTCTATTTCTGAACAACTCAGTCAATCTATTAGGAGCACAAATGAAAACAGTTCCTTAATAAAAATACAAGAAAATTATGTAATATTTAGTGTTGAAGTTGGAAAAGATATGGGCTTGTTATTAACGAATCAGCTGGGGCAAAGTGTGACAAATAACTATATGCCAGGTTCACGTTATTGTGACATTATAGATAAAGTTACAAAATACAACTTTAAGAATAATGATAGTTTAATTTTGTTGATAGGAAATAGAGATAATGTAAGCAATAAATCATTAATAAAATATTATGACTACCTGCTAAAATTAAATGTCAAAAGAATTGTAATGTTTACATTTCCGTACTGCGATAGTTTACCACAGTTAGGAAATGAAACTAGATATAAATTGAACATAAAATTGGATACTTTGTCATATTATAAAGATAAAATACATGTATTTGATTTTAATAAATCGACATTTAATAAAAATATAAAAAAAAATGATAGGAGGTAGACTTTTTCTATCACTGTATTTTAAAAAACAATTAGCAAAGCTGCTAAGCTTTTATTTATTAACTTCAGCCAAGAATTTGGTTGTACGGACTGATCCTATTGGGCAATGTTACAATGCCCCTAAACAGCATTGTAGTTATGACATTGCTTCTTTTGAGCAAAGTAATTATAATAATATAATAACTGCTCCTATTGAGCAATCTAACCTTGACCAACAGATAAGCTCGACACAAAATGAATATTTAAATTCAGACAACAGAGGACATCTCTGGCAAACTTATAATATATCACCAGAATACTCAGGGCTTTTCTGGAAAAAAACTAGAAATCTCTTCATTTTTACAAAGTCAAAATATACATGTATTATGTCTCACAGAACATTGGTTAAAAAAGACCGAATTATTAAATTGTATAGAGAACTATGACATTGTGAGTGCATTCACTAGCGAATCTGCTATTAGAGGCGGTTCCTTAATATTGTTACAAAACAATATCAAATTTAAAGTTCGATCAGATGTGATTAAGCACTCAATAACTCATTCAGTTATTAAAATTTCATGTGTAGAATTTGAGCACTTTATAATAGTGTGTGTGTACAGACCCCCTTCTGGAAACTATGATCTGTTTGAAGCAACTATGGAGAATATTCTTATATTATTTGTACTAACAACAGGAAGATAGTTGTTTGTGGGGACTTTAATTTGAATATTTTAGTGTCAAGTCCATACACAAGTAGGTTCATTAATTTATTTAAATCTTTTAATTTTAATTTTGTTTTCTTTGAGCCAACTAGAATCACCCCTTCGTCAGCTACTTGCCTAGATAACATCTTCTGTAATTGTGATATTCTTGAAAAATCTATTCTTAATGGTGTAAATTCAGATCATAGTGGACAGGTAATCAGTATTGAGCACCGTAGTGTTAATAAAATAATTAAAATTACATGTCGACCAATAACGGACAGTCGCATGATGATTTTTGACAAAATATTGAACATTACTTAATTTTTTACAATATTCAGATGATATAAATGATATGTATGGAAAGTTATTTCATAAAATAAGTATAGAATTTAACAGAACATTTAAGCCAAAAATTGTTTCAATTAACTCACAAAAGAAATTTAGTGATTGGGCTACTCCAGGTATTTACATTAGTAGAAGAAAATTATACGATTTATACTCTGAAAAGTCCACATCCACAGACCAATCTTTTATAAAATATGTCAAAAATTATTCAAAAATATTTAAGAAACTTTGTGATGTTGCAAAAGGTAACTTCCTTCGCAATAAAATTAAAAATTCCTCTAATAAAATTAAAAGTACATGGAAAATTATAAATCACGAAATTGGTAAATCATCATATAAAGATAGGTCCTTTGAAATTAATATTCAGGGTAAGATGTTAAAGACGGATACAGCGGTAGCAAACGCTATGGAGTCCTTTTTCTCCGGCATTCCTACAAAAATTACTAGCAAACTGAATTCATCCCCCGAGTCTGCACTTTCCTTTTTAGAATTTAGTGTTAATAAATGTAACAACTCTTTTAATTTTCATTTTAAAATGAAATGAAATTAACGCCGATATCATTATAAAAACCTTTAAATCCTTAAATAATAAAAAGACAGAAGATCTATGGGTCATCATCAGTTGCTGTTATATCACCAATAAGCAAAGTTATTGCCCCCTACTTATCTGCTATTTTTAATAATTGTATTAAAGGCGGAGTGTTTCCCGACCTAATGAAATATAATAAAGTTATTCCACTATTTAAGTCTGGAGATAAATGTGATCCCAATAATTTCCGCCCAATATCCATTTTACCAACATTGAGCAAAATATTTGAGAAAGTTATGTACAATCAATTACATTGTCATTTTACATTGAATGAACTATTTCATGATAGGCAATTCGGTTTTAGTAAAAGTAGAAATACTACGGATGCAGGTGTTGCGTTAATGAAACAAATACTTTATGCTTGGGAAAATAAACAAGATGCTCTAGGTGTCTTCTGTGACTTGTCCAAGGCCTTTGACTGTGTAGAACATAAAACCAACATAAATTGCAACATTATGGCGTTTCAAAAAACTCACTAAAAATGATTGAATCATATTTGAGTGACCGATTGCAAACAGTGGTTATAAATAAAGCAAAGTCTTCTGGAGCTCCTATTATTATGGGCGTGCCACAGGTCTCGATATTAGGAATATTACTTTTTTTGATTTATATATTTGACCTGCCTTTCTATGTAAACAATTTATGTGAGATGGTATTATTTGCAGATGATACATCCCTAATATTTAAACTAAATAGATATATAGAAAATGTTGACGATGTGAATAATGCCCTTTCCAAAGTAGTGAGCTGGTTCACTAATAATAACTTGTCATTAAATTCAAATAAAACAAAATGTATCAAATTTTCATTACCAAATGTTAGGCAGGTTAGTACAACTATTAAAATCAACGAAGAAATAATACAATGTGTTGACTCAACAGTATTTTTAGGAATAACCTTAGATTCACGTTTGCAATGGAATCCTCATATAACTACCCTCTCAAGAAGACTTGGCTCGGCTGCTTTTGCTGTAAAAAAAATTAGATTACTGTCGGATGTCGAGACGGCAAGGCTTGTATATTTCGGTTATTGCCATAGTGTCATGTCATGTGGTATGTTACTATGGGGAACAGCGGCTGATATTCAAGATATTTTTATATTACAAAAGAGAGCCGTACGCGCTATTTATAAATTAAAACCGCGTGATTCACTGAGAGAATTATTTAAAGAAATCAATATTTTGACGGTTCCCTCGCAATATGTATATAACAACATTATGTATGTCCACAAAAACTTGCATACCTTTTTAAAGAATAGTGATTATTACAATGTCAATACAAGAGGTAAAAATAGACTAGCTGTTCCGACTTTCAGACTTCATAAAACTAGTCAATCATTCATGGGGAAATGTATACAAATATATAATAAACTTCCACTTTATATAACTGAACTTCCATTACATCAATTTAAACTTCATGTTAAGGAAATTTTAATGAAAAAGGCATATTATAAAGTTCAGCAATATTTAGACGATAAAAAGGTGTGGATACATTCCAATATGCTCGATTCTCCACTGAAATCTAGAGCATTCTAGATCATTAAGCGTATAATTCTTATTCTAAATTGACAATATTGTAAGGAAAGACGTCATGGATCACATCTTTTACATATATTCTTTTATTTCGTAGTAACTACTGGTCTTTTATTTATTTATACTTTTAAAATTAATTAAACTATTAAAGACCTGATGTGGATTATGACTCTTTCCAAATAGATAATGTAAAGGGAGGACAAAACTTGCTGAGTTTCTTGCCGGTTCTTCTCAGACAAGGCCTTCTGGTAGACTCTTGAACCGATGGCATCAAATTTGACTTTCATAAGTGTGCAAATTGTACCTAAATGAATAAAGAAATTTTGACTTTGACTTTGTTGAATTACTTTAAATTGTATGGAAACCGAGCCTGTCATATTTAGTGATAACAAATTAAAACATGGACCCGGTCACCTATTTGTTACAGCTTAATTAGGTAGGTAATTAGGCATAGTTAGATATTATTTAAACATTGCGATTGATATCCGGTATCAAGAACGGTGACACAACGAAATTAATTAGCGTAAAATACTCTTTTTTGGCATGTTTTTGGCACGCAAAGTACTTACATACACTTGCGTTATCTATTTAAGTCTATGTTTTTGGGCTTCAGCTGATGATAGACAGTCTCCAAGCTTTCGCCGTAGGCCCTGAACTCCCTGTGGAATGTGTGGCATATGATTACCGAGTTGATGATTTGGCGACATCCTTCAGCTGATAATGGACAGTCTCCAAGCTTTCGCAGTTGGCCCTGAACTTCCTGTGGAATGTGTGTTATGTGATTACCGAGTTGATGATATTGGCAACGTCCTTCAGCTGATGATGGACAGTCTCCAAGCTCTCGTCATTGGCCCTGAACTCCCTGTGGTCAGACACCAGCACCAGCTCGACGTATCTTGTCAGTTTGTTTGCGTTGTAAGGCCCCCGAACTTGAGTGTCATCCACTTCGCGTTTGTACTGCAGACAAAGGAAAAATTTTACTACACACCATCTGAATAACATCTCCACGTGATTGGCGATGACAATAAATAATAACAAATAAGTATTTCTAACGCTCTGGGGGTGGACATTCATAGGCTGATGATGATGACACATCATCCTCTTAGTATTCAGAGCTACACCCATATTATTTTGCACTAACCCGAGCTATCCTGCTGCGTTGAGCGCTCTGCTGGTCACGGTATTTCTTCAGTAGCAGTGGGTCGTAGGTTTCGTTCTTAGTCACGCCGCCTTCGTAACCGCACTGATGGGTAGCGGTTAAGTCCGCGTGGTCGTATATGTAATGGTCCGATTGAATTTCGTTACCTGAAAAATAAAAAGTTTGTTTAATAATTACAAATATATATGTCTAACACTCGGTGTGAGTGTACTCTTAGCTGGCAAACTTGAACTTAGCAATACGATTGGGGAATGTGAATTGGAAGAGAAGCACAAGGAACTCAGTTCCTTCAACTTTGCAACTAGTAGAACTAAGGGAAGTCAAAGTTTGGGTGTGATGTGAACACAAACATGCTTGGGTGTGATGTGTATACAAACAAACTTGCTTTCGTTTAGCTTCGATTGCCATGTGACATGCGATTAATCTTCTCTTAGGTCAGCTCAGAGTTTAGAGAGGCGTTCGTTAAAAAAATGCCAAATTAAAAAGTGTTTTCTCTCAAAATGATTAGAGTGTGAACTGATCCAGTTATTCTTATATTCTTTTAATGTATATAAAATATTCTTTAGAAGTATTTGAGCATGTGTCCCTACGTGATAGTACGTATTAGTGGAGTGTATTGCGACTAGGGTTACCAGATGATAAAATCAAAAGTCCGGAAAAAGGCTTGATTTCCAGGGAAAAATCCTGAGATTTTTTACAGTTTGAGAATTTTCTCTCAATCGTACTTAACAATTTAAAAAAGTCGTAATATTATCGTTTATACTCTGCTTATACTTGTAAATCAATATAATTTGAAGAGGTTAACATGTGGGGCATTATATGAATCCAAAATTAAAGAAAAAACCTTACTTTAACATGTATCTTCACATATTAATTATGATAAAAATGATTAAGTTAAGATTAACTTGGATAATAAAGTTCTGATTTTAATTGTGTAATTATTACCAATAGAAGATTATTTTGAGTTTGTTTAACTTTTTATTAAAGAGATCTTTAAAACGTAAGCTGTATTTTATTGGAAATTCTAAAAATCCTGAGATTTCATGAGATTTGCAAAATCCAGCCGCAATCCTGAGAAGAGTCCAAAAATCTCAGGACAAATCCTGAGATATGGTAACCCTAATTGCGACAGTTCTCCACAGCTATAAGTCCTGAACTGCTATGGGAAAAATTGAGGTTATTTAGACTTCGTACCTTCGACAGGCTGGATGTACCGCATCCGTTGACCGTCGTAAATGACGCCCCGGAGCCCTCTGCACGTAGACACCGCCACCCAGGAGCCGGGCCTCCCTCTTACCGTACCCGAATATTGACACACGTCCAACTCCTGCAAAGAAATTATTTTGTTTCATATATCTATTCAAGTGAGGTAGATGTATTTTAAGCGAGCCAGAACTATTTCAAAACCATTGTGAACAGTACATTTATCTAACTTAATTTAATTTGTCAACATTTTCTCTGTAGGTATGGCTTTTTGCTTCGTTAGTTTTATACTCGTGAGTGGATCAGATAAAGTATATGTTGTCTTTGTACTTGTGAAAATTGTGTATGGCTTATCAATACTACATCATTTTGTTGTATCTTCTATTATAACATGTTTGTTTTCCATGAATACCTATATAAATAAATACATAACATTATTAAATCGTCTGCAAACAAGCATCGCGTTATGATATTTTCATCATCATTTATCAAGGTGCCTACATACTCTTAGCAAACAAAAGCCAAACAGCGAACACGAACAAAAATCACAAATGTTCAGATGGCTGTTTGCCAGGTTGTATTGTTTGCTGTTTGTGTTCGCCAGGGATCGGCGTCAGTGTCGGTTTTTTGCACAAATCAAAGGATGTTTGTTTCCTAAACCGGAATATACTGATATGCTCGCCAAGCCTGGTTGTAGTTGCAGCACATACCTTTGCTGCATCAGCGTCTATCATCGCAACTGGACTTCACTCAAAACACCCAAGATCAAGTTTCATTGTCTTTGAATAATGCTTCTATTTATTAACGTAGTAATAATACTCATATAGTAGTTATACTCGTTACAGAGTTGCGAAAGAAATTAATTATAATTTAATAGAAATAGGTAATCTATTAACATAACAATTTTATCAGTACGAGTCGTGTTCTACCGCTTAGTCTAATTGCTAGAATGCCATTTTGGAGTAAATGGTAACAAAATAGTTTTTAAGTTCGCTTTGTCAATTTTAATAGGTACAAAATTGAAATGACGTTCTATACAAACCTCTTTCTTAGGTTTATGCAGCACAGTCTTTCCATTCTTTTGGTATAGTAGCGTATGACCTTCAGTCAGCAGATCTTGGTTGAGCCGAAGGTCTAGGATATGCTCCTCGCCGTCAATCTGGACTCGAACTGTCACGTCGGAATGATGCGCACCAGTCTGAAATAACACCTTCTTTAGATAAAACATTAAATGTTATTTTTAGTCTTAAGACTACCACAGATACAGACACCGATTGTTGAAAAAAATGCGTTAAGTGTCGTGTAACACTCGTTTGAAACGAAAGTTGAATTAATTTATATACCACCCACAATTTCGCACTGGGCCCGCGTGGCGAGTCATGAAAAATCTCCTTATTCCATAAAAAAAAACTCTTGCCCACCAATCAGCACTGGACCATGACCATTCGGCTCAGTGCGGATTGGGGCCAAATCGGATTAGACCCTGAGCGAATTGGTCCCAGTGCCCCTCCCCTATCCATATCAATATCACCCTATTCTATTTAGGGGCCGCGTGATGTTTCATGGCCCGATCCCCCCATGTTTAAACCAAGTCCACAGCCACCACCCGTCAGTGGTCACCCACCTCGCTGCCTCGCTAGGTTGTGACGGAAAAATCTTACAAAATTATCGCCGTGTCCCCATTCGTCCAAGAAGGAACTTTGTTCCTAATTTCAAACATAATCGGTTCAAAGGTCATGATTTTAGATTGAGTAGCGTGACAAGGATAATAGTTAAATGTCAACTCAACACCGACGGAAAGCTACTTCCGATTCCGGGATATTTTCTGAATGACTCAACTGATTCAGGTTCAGCCAAGTCCACGTCAATTGATACAACAGAAACATTAGCAGCGCTTTTTAGTGTACGTGACATATTCGTAATGCAAATATATCCACTGTTATAGCCTTGTTTATACGACAAACCTCAACATTGTTTGGTTCTTCCGGTTGTTTACTTAATCAATATCGAGAAAAATATACTATCCGTATACAAATTGAGCGCGGGAGACCAGAGTTAAACAGAAAAAAAATCACGTTTCCGCTTATTTTATTGCCTACAAAATTGAGAATTTGACATCGTATGTACACTAGCAAGTAATGCAAGCAAGCTGTTTTTATTTTCATTAGGGCGTAATAACGACAGATATTCTTCGTACTGTTACTACTGTCTTCAGTTTTCTTGGATGCTGATGTGATGCTTGGCGCAGCGACAGCGCTCTTGTCTTCTACATGTAAAGTTTGGGTTGGAAATTGAACATTTATTTAATACGTGATGAGCAATACATTTCCGAGTCGTAGTTGCATAAATTATGCATTCATTGTAAGAAAATAAGAAAGATGGTCACCTTTTCCCTTGTTGTGGATATTTCCCTTTTTGTCCTTCCATGGTGAACGGTCGGCTGTACTATTCTATGTCGGCTGAAATCTGTTGATGGACTATCTGAAACAATCACATTACAGTGTGTAAGTTCGCTGTCCACAGTAAACTACCAATAATCATACAATGAAGATACGATTCGATAAAATAAAAAAATATATTTTCCAAAAGTATTTACAACATAGATGACTGAAACCCTCTATCGTCGCATAGCCTGGCCACGAATTTAAGTCTATGTCAGTGCATCGCATGGTATTACTTGTAAGCGAATGAAACTACCGTATTGAATTTTCGAGTTTCCCACTATATTTTCCTAACATAATCCCAATTAGTGGGAACAACTAGATATTGTCTGTAACTGGAATTAATTTTAGAAAATTATGCCAATAAACAACGGATGTGGTAACTGGGATTACCCTGATTATGTTTATTTAAATTATATAGTTTTCACGCGTAAAACCAGTCACCGCGGGATCACTTAGGTCATGCCTTTATTGTAATTAACCTAATTAAGCCAAATTGAGATATGTCACCGATGTCATGTGACGAATTACCGGCGTCAATTCTGAGTCAGCAAAGGGGAACGCGTTTAAGCAAAAAAACACCATACTGTCATTGCGCTATTGCATCTTTCAGGGAAATATGTTATGCAGGAAATGCACGCCTTTGCCAAGTGAAGAAAAGTAATTCATAATATTGCGTATTGTTTACTAAGTATAAATATTGTACGTAGGAATTCTCTGTTAGTGGGCTCTAGGCTTTTACTCGTTTCATTTTCGTGTTGACTTCGTCATTTAAAGGTTGCCCTCTGTTAAAAAAAATAGACAATTTGAGGATTTAATTTTTAATTACCCATGAAACTGAAATATTATTTATGACATTTCTATTATAGTAGGTATTTTATAATTTAGGACTTTGGCATTGGCATGTATTGAAGTTATTTAATTAAGCGCAAATTGAAGCCTAGCAAAAGTCAAACAGACTGGAACCGAATAAATTCTATTGCCTAACTGGTCGGGTCAAATCCGTTTATTAGTATTTATGCCTATGTCCGGGTTTATATTGACGCCTGGCAACCCTTCTCAAAGTTTGTCATAAAAAGGTTTACTATGTTTGTTACCCATTTGAGTTATCCTTCATTATGTCGAGCAAGATAAAACTCAACTCGGTTGGGATTAGATTGGATATTGATATTTTGGAAAAATTGACTTGTGGTTATGTCCGTCTGTACCACAGGGTATGTACAGTTAGTACCTATGCAGATAAATATTGGATTCATTGAGACCAAATTACTTCATAAACCTTTCAAACTGTTTATTCAAACCATCATTTTATTATGCGTAAACGCAGTTTTCGTATTTAACACCCGTAATCTTGGCTGCACTAGATTGTTTAATACCGTCAAGACTCAAGATGTGGGGCAACGACCTTCCTTTTTACAGCCACAAGACAAGGTGATAAAACATTACTTATGGATAACGTGCATGCACATAAAATAGACCCGTGGTAGTATAACATAGAGCAACACAGGCGACGCGGTTAGGATGGGCGTAGCCATTATGACATAATACTACTGAAATCATTCTGCCGCTTTATGCGGGGGGAGGAATATGTACACAAATGCAGTCCAGCATACTTTCGCAAAAACGAAATTGTAATTACGACACTCACACATAAAAAATGATAGCGCTAAATCAGGGCATAGATGAAACTTAAGATTTTTTTATTGACAGATCTGAACAAGCCCCACTATTGAATTTTAAAAATATAATATGGATTTCGTATTTAAAATTGGTTAAATAGAAATAATATGTAAATAATTCTACTTATATATAAGTTCACATCACTGTCATGTGAAATTTTACACAATTGTAAGTTTAATATTCCAGATATGTTTTATAGCAAATTACATAGCATTTTGGCATTTATATCTCTCACACACACTCGCGCGACTCAGTCTACTAAAATATCCGACGCACAACTAGTTTTGTTTTTGAGCTGGCCCAACAGCGGGGGAAAATCGACAGAGGGGAACGCTGTCAACGCTGTGAATGCCTACTCCCCTCCTGGCGACGTCGGCCGTGTTGCTCTATGTAGTAAGTATAACGATAACGAATCGAATACGTATGATACGTTTATAGTCTAAACATTATAGCCTTCATGTTTTATAATTGCCGAATGTAGCGCAGCGCAGCTGGGACCTAGAAAGGTCAAAAAGGTTAGGGCCCAAGCATAACTGATTTATATTTGTAATGATTATTCCATAGTATAGAAGGCTGCATTCAAGCTTATTTTGCCAACGAACCCTTTTAGTAATCGAAATATTTGTCAGAGTACTAAAATAAACGGGTTTCGGGTGGGTCTTCTGGAATACGTATATAGTGTCTTCATAAAAAGAGTAAGTTTGATTTGAAACACTACACGAGCAAAAGGCAATGTTACTTAACGGATGTCTTATGTAATGTGGAGGTTACTTCCCCAGTCCTTCCCCTTTCTCTCACTGAGCATCAGTACGGAGAAGAAGGAGATTAGAAATACGGAGGCATCAGTCCGCAAGAAGGCAGGATTAGCTCATTGTAGTCGAGGATCGTGCTCAGTAGTGTTCAATTGTATAGGCCTACGTCCGGCTGATGACTGATATGGGCTGTCGATCAGCACGGTACCTATCGTGAAAATTACGAATGCATAATCATTCTTTTTTATAGGCGTTAGTTCCAGCCACTAAAGATAAATTCACTAAGCTTATCTTGATCATAAAAAAACCACCCAAAAAGACTCCTATGCTTATAATTTTAATGCTGTTATGGCAAACAAAAGAACCTTTGTTACTTCTCTGCATACATAACAAACATTGTCCGCGGGTGCGGGTAGCTTTTGTATATACTTTTATGCCATAACCCATGCCTTTATCTCGCCTACAAAACGAACTTTTTATGAGAAAGAACACGACGTAATAAAGGCAGCTTTGTTATCAAATTACGACATTCTGTTTAAAATTTTAGAACTAATCCATCGACTACTACGTTGTATTTTGATATGAAAAGTAAAGTCGTTAAGTAAGTACTACGAATAAAAAACATATAATATTCTTAATATTATAAAGAGGAAAGATTTGTATGTAAGTATGTTTGTAACGAATTGGCTCGAAAGGTACTGGACCGATTTTAAAAATTCTTTCACCATTTCAATGCTACATTATCACTGATTAATATAGGCTATAGTTTATTTTCAAAAAAGTTAGGGTTCCGTATGAAAACTTCGACAATGTAACCCAACGTTAATAAAAAATACCAATAAATTGCCTTATATCGCGTACGATACGGAAGTCATTGACATTAGAGCAAAGTGATGTACTAAAGTTTTATAGAGGACTAGCTGACCCAGCGAACTTCGTACCGCCCTAAAAAAATAGGGGTTGTCCAGCGGACAAAATTGTGAATCTAAACCATTCTCAGATCCCCTTGAACACACACAAAAAAATTCATCAAAATCGGTCCAGTCGTTTAAGAGAAGTTCAGTGACATACACACTCACAGAAGAATTATATATATAAAGATACCAATACTACAAAAAAGTCTTGGATACCTAATTACCGTGCCTATGTCTAACTATTACGGTGATGTCACAACTAGAGGTCCCCTGCAGTTTCACCCGCGTTAACTTGAAATATGGACATAGGCTGTCTTTCCGTCGTACCTGACTTTTGTGTAACTTTAACCGTTTACCCAGCGCACGCAACGAAATCTTCAAATGGAATATTTATACCCGTTTTTGCAACATTTTTCATCGATGCTCTACTGTTCGCAGCCTGGTAATATATAATAGCCTATAGCCTTCCTCGATAAATGCACTGTCCAATCGGAACAGCAGAGCAATGTTGCATTTGGTTTAACGGGTCCTAAACTAAATACTCAACAATTTTTTTACTTGGAATGGAAGGTTTATAATTATTATGAAGAAAGTAATTGTGTATAATACAAGCCTGTGAACAAAAATTATAGTCTACACTACAGCTCTACACCGGAGCAAAGCGAGAGCGGGTCACTAGTAAATAGATAATTTTGACTGGTTGATATTTAAAGTCGCTTTGTTTAAATTGACGACGACACTTTACTTGCGATAATAAATAGTTTTAGGCGTCGAAATAGATAAAAACTTTTTAACACGTTTAAATCAATAAATATATGAACTTAAACGTAACATAAATGTTTAGTACATCCATGTCATTTTGTCTATGTGCTTCAATTAAAAAGTTTTTTTTTATAAATAAGTAAATGAAGGTAAAATATTTAACGTCAAGGCATGTAAAACAATAATACTAATTAAACATCGCTGCTGAATTCATCTCTGTAGCCCGTTTGGGTGTATTCCAAACTGGCTACAGAGCGAGTTAATTAATAACTATTGAATTCAGATGATTATGACGTTACAGACATCATTATATTGCATAGATTCTGTAACCGACTTGCGGGTGAGTCATGCAAGCTTATTCGGATGGAAATGTGTAATGTCAATAATTTTGGTACACTAACCACCACCCGCCAAGAGCCACCGGTTTTAGCATAAATAACGTAACCCAATTAGTTAATTTATTAATAGAACCAACCAGCGGACACGCTAGCACCGCCAGTTTGCAACAATGATGATTGTTATTCATAAACTGTGTGGTCGTAATTTTAACTCTAGATATTTAAGTTTAAATTTCCGGTCTAATTCGGCGGCAAATCGAACTTTTATATTTTAGAAGATGGCAAACCGTATCCCTGGCCCAGGTTCTATTCTTTAACAAACAATAAGATTTTTATTCAATCATCGACCATTTAAGTAGTTGTTTCATTGCCAATGACACTTTTCAACGTAGGTAATTCTTAAAAGTTACGGTACATCTAATTGCGATTCGTCTCAGCCTAGCTAGATTCTACCACCACCGTTAACTGACTCGATAGACCTGTAATTTCATACTTAACCCGGTTTGGAAAATCCACGCCGGACTAGGACTAAAAGAAGTACCTACTATTTATTACGAGAGCTGTTAAAATCTCGTATGCAAGATAGAATGTTTT